ACTAAAATAAAAAACTGAAAATAAAATAAACTAAAATAAAAAACACAATAAATAAATTGGAATGAATAAAATTAAAATTAAATAAATTAAATTAAAATAAAATAAGGCAAATTAAATTAAAATACATTCAATTAAAATTAAACAAACTAAATTAAAAAATATATTAAAGAAATAAATTCAATAACGATAACTTAAAAAGAAAATAATATAAATAAAATAAAACGAAGAAAATAAAAAATTAATTATATTAAATAAGATTGAAGTAAACTGGATTAAAATGAAATAAAATTAAATACTAATAAAAAATAATAGTCTAGAATTACAATTTATTTAAAACCAATAAAATATTTTGTTTATTTATCTTTTCCAACAATGCTCTCCTACATACAGACACGCTTATGCATGCAACTTATTTTATTATAATTTTTTTTTTATAATTTAATAAATATAGGTACAATTTCCGGAATCTTCTGGACGTTATGACTGCACTACGATTGTTAATTAATTTTTTTTTTTATTGTTAATTTTTTAGTTTTATTGAACGTTATAATAAAAATTTGTCAATGGTCATATATATGAAAGGGATATCTAATTAGTTTATAAATACTTATGTGTGTGAGTGGAGATTTTTTCTTATTTTTTTTTTTTTTGGCTAACTATTTAACATATAAAATATGATTTCTTTCTACTTTTTAAAGTGTATTTACACCCATAGCATAGGCTATGAATATTGAAATTTTATTAGCTGAGATTTGTAGAAGTGTAAATAGAGGATTTTAGAGATCAATTGTTCTTAGGATTAATTCACACAGAAATGCAAATAGCACTATTTTAGAATTACATGATGATTCGGTCAATTATATTTAGACAAAGGCTTGTAATTGGCTTGAAATTAATTTAAGTAAAAAAAAAGATCGGCTTGTGTACTCATTATAGGGTTCTTCTTGATAATTTTCTTAAATTAAAAAAAAAAATCCCCGGGAATGTCTAAAAGTGTTAGGTTATTTGACATTTTCCAATTTGTGTAGAAGCAATTTAAACAATTTCTAAATACTTTTTTTTACATGGTAAAGTCTTGCTCCCACACTTATAACATCTCTTCTTCTTCTTCAAACATAATCTCACCGATTTAAAACCTGCTTCCAAAATAATTAATTCACTTTTTGCAAATATCTTCTTTTTTGTGTGTGATTTTATTGAATTCAATCAAAATAATTTTAAATATGTTTTGTATGTATGTCATTTACATTATAAATAGTATAGCACTGTTAATTTTTTTATTGTTTTTTTCTATATTAAATATTACTTTAAGTAAATTTTATCATAAAATATGTATGTATGTTTGCTTTTTGTGTATGTAGTTCACTGGAATATCATTATTTGCTTCTTCTTCGTATGTTTTTGGTTAAACAATATTAACATTAACTGTTTGCTTGGTAGTTACTAAACTAAAATATTTTTCTTTGCAGATTTTTTTTTAGTTTTTCTTAATTTATTTACTAGTGTAGATAATTCAATTCAAGTTTTCTGTTTTCTGCTTTCTTAATAGTTAAATTTATTGTTTACAAATCTTATTAAGGACTACCGTTTGCAAAAATTTTTAGGTATTTTTCTTTAAATGTTTATTTTTAATAACTGTAATTTTATATACAATACATTTAAGGTAGTGCAAAAAATTTAGTAAACGGGTTAACAGGTTAATAGAATAAGTAAAGTGATGGCTTTTGAAGAAACAATAGACTTTAAATTTACGTTTTGTTTTCGAAAAAATCGCATATAAGTTTAAACATACATATTTGGAAATAACTTATTGAAAGTAAATTATAAATTTTTGCTATTTTCGTCATGCAGCAGCTAAATTTTTTATAATTGAATTTGTTACATTTTTGCCAAACTTTCCAACATTTTTAAAATCTATACTACCTCTCTTGCGCCATCACTCCACTACTTTTGGAAAGTAGAATTTTGTTAAATTTTTTTTTATTTTTTATATATCTTGTAATAACTAATATTAATTAATTAATTTTTCAATTTTATGAATTATGGAATTTTTATTGATAAGAAATAAGAAATAAAATAATTTTTTTTCAGTTTTCAATTTTTTTCATTTAAGTTTCATTTCTATTTTATTATTAATTTATTTTTTATTTATTTATTTATTTTTTATTCATTTATTTTTTATATATTTATTTATTTATTTATTTATTTATTTATTTATTTTTCATTTATTTATTTATTTTTTATTAATTTATTTTTTATTAATTTATTTTATTATTGATTGGTTTTGTGTTTACTTTGTATTATTTTATTTTTATTTTGTTGTTTTACGTTGTGTCATTTCAATGTATTTTATTTGGTTTAACTTTGTTTTATTCAATTAAATTTCATTTTTTTTTTAACATACTTAATTTTTTGTATTTTATTTAACTTATTTATTTATTTTACTTTTATTTAATTTAGTTTTTATTTAATGTTTTGTTTATATCCTTAAATTTTATATTATTTTATATAATTTTATTTATTTAAATTCTTTTATTTTATTTTGTTTGTTTTATTTATTTTTTTAGTTTAATTTTTATTTTATTTTATTTTTTCTATTTATTTTAATTCTTTTATTTTATTTTATTTTTTTTTCTATTTATTTTAATTCTTTTATTCTATTTATTGTAATTCTTTTATTCTATTTTATTTTTTCTATTTATTTAAATTCTTTTATTTTATTTTGTTTTATTTTATTTCTTTTACTTTTATTTAATTTAATTTTTATTTAATGTTTTATTTATGTCCTTTTATTTTATTTTGTTTGTTTTATTTATTTTTTAATTTAATTTTTATTTTATTTTATTTTTTCTATTTATTTTATTTTATTTTTTACTATTTATTTTAATTCTTTTATTTTATTTTATTTTTATTTAATGTATTTTATTTTGTTTTATATCCTCTTACGTTATTTTAATTTTTTTATTATTTAATTATAATTTATTTTAATTTCATCTATTTCTTTATTTCTTTCATTTTATTTATTTTTTTTACTTTTTTATTTGTAATTATCCAAATATTTGGCTATTTCTACAATTCGTAAGTCGTAATGAAAATTTCAAAAATTTAAGAGGAAATAATTACGAGTAAATATATTAAAAAAATTATTTTTAATTAAAATTTCCCACAGAAACAAAAATTGCAAAAATATCAAAAAAGAGAGCGAATAAGTGAAATAAAAGCAGAATAGAATATACGTATATATACATATATAAGAAATTAAAATTTCTTATATAATAAATACAGGAAAAAATTAATAACATTAAAAAAATATTTTGACTGATTTATATACTTTTATACCACGAGAATATTAAGTCCTTTCCATTATTTTAACATCGAAATTTAAATATTTTAAACTTTAAATATTTTCATTATAACATTAATTTACTCTGAAAGTCTCTTTTAAAAACTTTGATTGTATAATTTAAATGTAAATAAATTTGAAATGAATTAAAAGGAAAAATTACATATTTCGGCTTATTAAAACATTATTAAGTAAATAAATTAAACTTATTTTTTTTTTACATACACATTTTTAAGTTTTTTGTATAACGTTTTTCATTGCGAAAATTATAGCATTTCTGAAATGAGTAAAGGCATTTAAAATAACAATTTCCTATAGAAAAGAATTCAAAAATCCAAAATAGAATTGAAAATAATAGAAATATCATAATGGGGCTTAAACTTTTTAAAAAGATGTTCATATAGCGCCATTTCAATTGGAATTTTGAAGTCAAAAATGGTTTTGCTAGACATAAATAATATATTGAAATGTCTAAAATAGTTGATAAGGCTGCATTAGTACACATAACCTCTAATAACTCAAAGCAAATATCGAATATTTTTTCCCGCCAGAGTGTGGCAATGAAATGAGCGAAGAAGTTTGAAATGACATAAAAACCAATTAACAATTTTTAATTAAAATTAAATTTTAATACTTTTCGCAACTATTTTTTTGTTTTTTTTTTTCATTCAATCCTTTTTCAAAATTAAAGCAACTTACGTGAAGTAGACACACACAGAATGCAACTAATTACAATAAAATTTCATTTTTTTTATTTTTTAAAGTTGAAAAATTAGTAACAAACATGTTTTCTTTGTCTTTTCTGCATTTTTTTTTCTTATATGCATACATAGAAAAATATAATTTTTCGCTTGCGTGAGTGATGGGTGTGGCATTAAAGAATTATATAAATATGAATATGTTAATTGTATTTTTGACTGAATTAATTTAAATAATTGCGCAATAGAAAAATATTTTTAAAACTTTATAAATGATATTTTATTTACGAAAAATGTATGAATTTGGCACAAAAAAAAATTTTTTAAATTTATTTTGCAAACTAACTACATATAAGTATATAAAGTTTTATATTTATTAATAGCTTTTTATGCATATGCATGTATGTATGTATATGTTCTTTATATATATTTACCGTATTACAAGCATATATAATTTAATTTAATTAAGGAAAACTATGCTACAACTTATATAAATTATGAAAAAATAATAATTGGAAATATTTTCAATACATTTCGCTGCCAAGAATTTCGAAAAGCTGAGTGCTAATTAGACACAAGACATTTTAAGCACTAATACTAACTATAAAAATGTGCGAAAAATATTCATTTCCAATACACAGAAAGTCTTGCCATGTTAATTTCACATATATGTATATATATAGTTTTTTTCTGCAAATCTCATTATCAAATAAACTTAAAAATTTTCCAATTACATATTTTCAGCTTTGCTTTAAATTAAAAAAAATAAAGCATTTTTCAATATTTTCAAAAAGTTGCAAATTGAAAAGGGAAAGTTTCAAAATTATATAAATCACAATACATTTTATGTATATTTGTACATACAATAACAATAAAAGGTGTAGATAATTTATTGTGTGTGTATGTATGTAAGTGTGCTGCATTAATATTTTTGTTTGCTATATATATTTATGTTTTTATTTTTTTTTTTGCAAATATATGTATGCATGTTTATTGATTATGTATGTAGAGTTGATGGACGTCAGCTGTAATGAAGCGTGCTACTATTTGCTTTACGTAAATTATAGAATTTGAATTTTTGTTGTTGATGAATGCATCTAATATTTTTGGTGTACCATATCTAAAAGGAAAATAAATAAAAAAAACATATAATTAAGATTAAATATGTACATATGTATATATGTTTATGAATTTTTTTTTTAAATGAAAAAAAGCGGCAAAATAAACGTGTATTATGTAAGTATGTATGTTATGTTATACATATATACACTGAAATATGATTTTTTTTGAGAAACCTAACCTTAAAAATGATAATTTATAATTATAACTTTTAGTTTAGATCATAAATAACATAGTAAATTTGAACATTTTTTATTTTACATAGTTTGAATATTTCGTTGAGATACAACTTTGTTTTTGTCATATAGAATATACTAAATAGTTAAGGATTTGAGTTTAAATAATTTAATTAATATTTCATCATCTGTGAATGCACTTTTTTCTATTATACTTTTGCTACTTTTACTTTGAGAAATTGCAAAATTCACTCAAAACATTTACTGTCTTCAAAATCCGAAATATTTTCAAAAGTGTTTCATTCCTTAAAATATAAAAATATTAAATTTTTTATTTTTTTATTCAGTATTTATTCCTTCGGCGGTGTCTACGCCATTAAAGTAAGTAAGTATTTATTCTTTCGCATTTACCAAATATTTTCAATGCACAGAAATATCGAATATCAATGAGTAAAAATTTCGTTCATATTAAAAAAGTGATGCTAAAATAAGCGAAATTTGTTTCAGTAAATAAACCTAAATTTTGAAAATACTTAAAAAGCTAAAAGAATTAAATTTCAGTCCTTAATGGTAGCAAAATTTTGCCAACCATTCATTCTGCACTCCTTTCCCCTCTCAATATGTATTAATTTTCAAATAAGTTTGAAAGTGTTTAAAATAAAATAAAAAAATTTATTAAAGAAAAAAACAATTATGTAAACGTAAACAAAAATTTTTTTTTTGTAAAATTTTTTTTTCGAAATTTTTGTTAAAACATATGTATTGTATCACTTCACTTGGATCTCATTTGGAAGTGGTAACTACTATTACCTTCCAAAATCCTCAAAAAACTATGTAATGTAACAGCAATGAATGATTACGAAATTAATTTAAATTTTTTTTGGAAATATAAAATTGAAATAAATAAATTCTTTCGAAACTTCTATTAAAATATCGAAAAAAAATTTTCTTTTAATCACAGAATGATGATAGATAAATATAATAGTTTAAAAAACAATAACTAATTTTTGGAAGTTTAAAAATTATTCGAAACTTTTTCAATTACATTTGAAAATGAAATTTATTGGAAATTTAAAAATTTACGTTTCTTTTTTAATTAAATTTCTATTTGGAAGGTTACAAATTTTTCTAAATTTTTTTTTTTATCAAATTTCTTTTTGGAAGTTTAAAAATTTCAATAATTTATTTTTAATAAATTTCTTTTTGGAAGTTTAAAAATTTTTCTAATATTTTATTAATTTGAGTTTATTTTCGAATTTATTTCATTAAAGGGTAAGCATAAAAAATTCGAGAAACAGCATTAAAAGAAGAAGCTTTTTATTTGAATATATGTAAATATAACTCATCCCAACAAGCTACGGTTTGAGTACATTTTTTTAAGAAAAATAATTAAAACATTATTTGTCTAATGCTTGTGTAAACTAAAATGAAATGACGCACGATGAAAACCCCTATTAATATTAAACGTCTTCTAACTAATTTATTGCAATAAATAATTTTATTGAATTTAATTTATGCAGCATTTACTAACAGCCCAGAAATTGTGTATGAAATAATAATGTAATGACGAGACAAACATTTGCGAATATTTATTTTTTTCCACAATTAGATGATTTATTTATAAAATGATATTGTACAGAATTTTTTTTTTTCATATTGTTTATAAATAATAAATTTAGTTTCAAATATAGCACATAAATTAACTGCTAGCTAAGCTACAAATTGACAATGATGGAACGCAAAGGAATGGCTTGGGGGGGGTAATGTACCAACATATGTATATGATCTGTGTAAATAATTTATAAACTATTACTAAAATTTTTTTTGATATTTAAATAAAATGTGTATAATGAAAATATATTTTCAGCAACCCCTTATACATGTGAAACACAATTTTTTCTTGTTAATGAAAATGAATGAATAAAACTAGCGCAAGTACTAGAAACACGCATACATACATACATATTTATGTTATATATATATATATATCAATTAGAAAGAATATGAAAACAAATATTTTCTTCTTTTTATTTTTTTTCCACTCTTTGGTGTAATTATAATATATATTTTGAAAGCACAATAAAAGAGGCAAAGAAAAAAAAAAGAAATTTCAACTTCAAATATTCACGCTTTATATGTATGCATACATGAAAATGTACAGAAATTGGTTGCATTTTGTGTGTTAGTAGAGATGAAAACACTTTTTGGTACGATGGTCATTAACGCTTTTACATATATGTATGTATGTCGATGTTTGCATGAAATAAATCACCAAAGCAGTTATTGTTTTCTTTTTCTTTTTTTTTTTTGGTTCAATAAATTTATATTTTATTTTATTTATTTTTATTTTTAATTATCTTAAACTACAACAATTAAGAATACAATTATTATTTTTTTTTTAAATTTGCAAAGGATCCATAACTGAAATGTGTAATTATTGTTATATATTATGTATGTATGTACCTATTCAAATATAATAGGAAGTTATGTAATTGAGTAAGTACACATATATATGTATATAACTATTTGTATTTTTTTTCTCCAAATATAAATATAATTATAAATATTTTATTAATATTATTGTAATGCATATAAGTATAGGTGTGTGTGTGTGTGTGGGTGTGAGTGCGTGGGTGTATGTTTAGGTATGGCATGTGGTTGTGAGTGAGCTGTTACAAATGGGAGCAAAAAGAATTGGAGCATTTAATTATTTATGTTAATCTATTTAATCATTTTCCTCTCATCGATGTCCCGCATGCTGCTGCACAGGCGCATAAATTTGGTACGCTTTAATATTCACAGCATTAAATATGTATTCCTCAACAGTTTCGCCTTATGCTGTTTCATTATAATAATAATTATTAATCAAATTCCAATACAACTTCACCAAACGTTAGCAATATATGCTATATAAGTATACGGGCGCGGTATGTATGTATGTAATTTGTATAGTTAGTTAACGTAGTTATGTACTCTTTATTTAAACGTCATAAATTTTCTCTTTCTGCAATATATTCAAATAAGCTTAGCAACATTGTCATAATGATTGCTTGCTCTTCATATAAGTTTTTTTTTCTTTTTTGTTATTTAATTTCGTAATTCTTTTTCACAATATTTTAAATTTTTTTCTTTTTTGTTTATTTGCTTTTGTGTATTTTTTTTGTTTTTGTTTTCATTTAGACACTAAATTATGTTTTATTTGTCTTATATACCTGGCGTATATGTCGGCTGTTCGGTAGCATTGAGCGATGTATTCTCGGTTGCAGCAGCAACCGGTGCGCCTGTGAACGGATTTACGCCAGTAGCGCCGCCGGCTTGTGTTGGCGGTGGCATCGCGAAAACTGGCTGCTGTTGGCCACCCATACCGCCGCCGGGTTGTTGACTATTGGGGCTGGGGCCCAAATTTACATCATCCAAGTCGGCGTCTTCCTGCAGATGGAAGAAATCAGAGAGAGAGAGAGAGAAAGAGAGAGAGATGAATATGATTAATGTCTTAATATTTTGATTTAGACAATACAATATGTATACTTTCATAATACAAAATAAATACAATTTTAGAGCACATATATGCATATGTGTAAATACACATATAAAAATCAGAGCTTAACACAAGAAAATGAAGATGAGAGACTGCGCATAATTTGGCGTAAGTGTTGACTTTGTAGACAATAATAGTATTAGTTTTGATTGATACTAGAAAACAAAATTTACTTAGACGAAAAGTAGAAAGAAATAAATTTTTCAAATAACTTTTTCTATATATGAAATGGCTATACCCAGCATGCCTGTCTTTGATTATTTTTCACTTTTTATACAGACCTTGCAAAGCAAAAACACAATTAATGCCGTGTAACTAACTTATAAAGTTACAATCAGTGAGCATTTCATGTGCATATGCTACTTGAAAATCGTTGCATATTTTTAGGCGCTCGAGATGTAATGCTTATGAGCGTACCTCTGACCATTTGTGCTTTAAAATTATCTCTTTATCTCTTTTTTTAGGGAAACATATACATATGTATGTATTAAAACATATACATATGTATGTATAAAGACATATACATATGTATGTATAAAAATGTCGGTATAAACTGGACCGAAGTCATAATAAGAACTTCATAATTGTTTGAAATACCATGTACATGCTACATATATCTAATTCTTGAGATTTTTATTTCTCAATCACTAAAGCAGTATGCATACTTCAAGGATCTAATTCCATAACTACATTTTACTCATATCCCCTGGAGTTTCATATTTCCTTAATTAATCTTCTCCAGAATTTACTTTTACTATTAATATTTTCTTAATGTTTTTTTTTCAGTATTTTTTAACTTTGGAATTTTAAGTTTTAAATATGTTTTGTTTTAAATGATTTCATAATATTTAACTAATTATTTTTTTATCTTGTATTTATTATTTTTCTATTTATTTAATTTTTTATTACTATTTTTAATTCACAATTTATTTTATTTTTTTATCTTTTATTTATTATTTTTTATCTTTTATTTATTATTTTTTATCTTTTATTTCTTATTATTTAAATATTATTTAATTATGTTTTTTTTTTAAATTGAATTTTAATTATTTTTGAGTTTTTCAAAGCTTTCAATAATTCTTTTCGTTTTTTTTTTTTTGAATTTTTTATAGTTATTTTCAATATTTTTTAGAATTCAATTTTTTATGTATTATTAACTAATTTTTAATACTAATTTTAATCTTTTTCACTTTATTATTTATATATATTAAAATGCATTTTTGATTTATTTTATTTTTTGAATTTTTTTATTCTTATTTATTTATTTATTTTCCATTTATTAATTTATTGTTTATTTTATTTAATAGTTTTTTTATTCATTATTCATTTTATTTTTATTTATTATTCATTTAAATTTTTATATTATATTATATATTTAATTAGTTATTTTATTTTTTTTTTACTTTTATCTTTTATTGTTATTTTTATTTTATTTTTAATTTTAATATTTTTTAATTGTCGTTTTTTTATTTAATTATTTTTTTTTTGTTATTTTTTAATTTTTATTTTTTACTGTTTATTTAATAGTTTTATTTATATTTTTTTATTTTAAATTTTATTTTATTTCTTTATTTAATATTTTGTTTTGTATTTCGATTTAACTTAATTTTTATTTTTATTTTATTTTTTTTATTTTATTTTTTTTATTTTGTATTCTTTTATTTTATATTATATTTTTTTATAAACTTTTATTTTATATATTTTTAATATTTTTTATTTTAAATTTTTTTATTTTATATTTTTTTATTTTATATTTTTTTATTTTATATTTTCTTATTTTATATTTTTTTATTTTATATTTTTTATTTTATATTTTTTATTTTATATTTTTTTATTTTATATTTTTTTATTTTATATTTTTTATTTTATATATTTTTTTATTTTATATATTTTTTTATTTTATATATTTTTTTATTTTATATATTTTTTGATTTTATATCTTTTTTTATATAATTGGATTTTATATATTTTTTTTATATTATTTGTTTTTATATTTTTTTTTTACAATATTTGATTTTATATTTTGATTTTATATTCTTTTTATATTTTTTGATTCTACATTTTTTATTTTATATTTTTTTATTTCATATTTTATTCTTCTATTTTATTTGCTAATATTTTTAACCTTATATTTTTTTTGTATTGTGCTTAATATTATTCAGTTGCATAAAATTTATTATACGTGCATACACTTATATTATACTTATACATATGTCTAGAGAACCCTCTCACCTCATCATAAAACTTAATTTTGCCAAAGTGAATATGCATTAAACATAAAGCTTTTTTTTTCATAAAATGGAATTTATATTTTATTCATAATTTTCTTGGTTGGCACAAATATATAATACAATAATTTATTAATAAATATTCCGCACTTTGGTTCCATTACGGTTGCTGATTTGGCTAAGTGTGATTGAAACAAAAAAAAATAATAAAAAGCATAAATTTAGTTTACACCAAAATATAATTTTTGAATAAAAGAAGTGGTGAAAAGAAATCAATCACAAAAAGAGAAGAAAATGAGCCAAAAAAAAACAAACTAAATAAATAGTGAAAATTAGAAGAAAAAATATTTAGGAAAACATTTAGCCGATAATTTTTTACTGTTTCTGTGAATGTGTGTGTGAATTGGTTGAAAAAATTGATTTTTTACGAAGTTAACAGGATACAAATGACAAATATTTAAAAAGAAATACAAAAATGGTATAAATGAAATTTTATAATAAAATATTAGATACATTTATTCATTTAGTTAAATTTTTTGTTTAAATATTTAAATGTGAAGTTTCTTTAATGACATTTTACAACAGGAAATATGAAATACTTAAATGTGGTCTTGTGGTTTAAGGCAGTAGCTGCTTTGCTTTAGAGGCTTCAAAAAATTCATTTTTTCTTAAATCTTATCTAAAACTTTCCAAGAATATGTTTTCGTAAAGACAGTGGCTTTTTCGGCATATTTTAGAAGCTGGAGGAATTTTAGTGGCCGAACGTCGAGTAGGTTCGGCCGAAAAAATTAAGTGTTCCAGCTTCAGTATTAAATTAGCTTCTATTTGAACTAAAAAAAAATATGTAACTTGAAATTAATTTTTTTTAAGTGATTTTTTTCAAAAAAGTGATTTTTTCAAAAAGCTAATTTTTTGAGTAATTTTTTTCAAATAAATGATTTTTTTTGAAAAAAGTGATTTTTTCAAATAAATGATTTTTTCAAATATATGATTTTTTTTTTCAAATATATGATTTTTTTTTCAAATATATGATTTTTTTCAAGAAAGCGATTTTTTTTTCAAATGTGATTTTTTTTTTTAAATGTAACTTTTTTAAACCACAAAATAACGTAGACTTTTTCAATTTTTAAGGTATTTTTTTAGTTCATATAAAAAAATTTTAGTTCGACTGTTTGAAATGATGCGCAAGACCTCACGCAGCGGCACCGTTACACGAGTTCAGCCTGCAGCCGCTTCAGAAAAGTCAGCACAACATTGGAATATTCCAATATTCCTTTATGCTAATAATTGGTTTTTGAAGCTTAAATAAAAAAATATAGTACCTTACTTCCTTCACTTTCAAAAATGTTTATGTAAAACTGCTCTTTTTCGGGTTCTAAAGGAGACTACTGCCTTTAGTGGATCATTTATCAAAATATCAAAGGATCTTTCGAAATGAGCGTTTATGCAGCGATTGGTGTATACAACCGACAAAAAAAAAAGCAAACGATACTACGACCAATCACTAGAAATATTTTTTGAATCTGAGAAGCGATTTCTAGTACTAGCCATGCCGATAAACCAGCTCAAGCCAGCTTAAGTAAGGTCAAAGTAAGTTAAAGTGTGTAAAATGTACTTTTCCACTATATTATTGTATAAAAATTACAACTTATGTACTGCCGGATGATTCAAAATTTAAAAAATTTTATTCAAAAAAATTATCTTAAAACTTTACCAACAGCTGCGTCATTATTTATTACCCCAAAGGGGAGCAATAAAACTCGCCAGTTAGCCATCAAAGTCTATTTACTTTAGAAGCCATGACTTTGAACTACATTTCTAAACAATTTTATATTTACTACAACAATAAATATTATAGATACATTAGTGTTGGATTATAAATTACTAATGCCGATAATTAATGATAACACCAGTGTCAGTAATAATGAACAATGAATTTGTGTAGATTATGTGTTTGTGGTAATTAAGTGTAAATATTTCGTGTAAGTGTATGATGGAATAAAAATTCGAAACACCATAAAAACGCAGCCCAACACCAAAAACAAAGCTGACAAAAGGAGTTTCAAAAATGTAAACCAAATGATTATAACATGAAATTAAGCATAAATAATAATTTATATAATTTTTGGCAAATTCTAAAGCGCAGCCAAAATGTATAAAAAAGAAGTAAGGAAGATTAAAAGTTATGGAAGTTAAGCAAGTAAATAAATGTAAAAAATAAAATAAAAACACAATTAACATGTAACTACTTTTTTATGTATGATGAAATTTTCATATTTGGATTACTTACATTCTGCGCTGTGGCCTGAATCCTATTTGTTGAATTATCACTAGGCTCTCTATCCCCTTCGCCACCACGCTACAACATGAGTTTTCAAATCAAATCGCACGTACGAGTATTTTTTTTTTTTTTTTTTTTTTTTTTTTTTTTNTTTTTGATTTGTACGAGAAAGTTGAGTATGAGCCAAAAAAAAGTAAACGAATAAAATAAACGAACGAGGGTAAACGAATAATAATAATAATAATACAATAATAAATAGAATAATAAATATAATTATATAATAATTAAATAAAAAAAAATTCGTATTAATATAAAAAGTGGTTAGCAAGTAGAGCGAGTTGAAGAATAGCAAAAATGAGTGTTAGCAGGAGTGGTTAGTTAGTAAGTGTGTGTGGCAGGAAATGGGCGGTGGATGGTGGTTGGCAGTTTAATGGGATAACCAAGCATTTTGGAAGTATTTAGAAACCAATAATTATCAGAGAGCAAGTAGCGCGAGCAAATAAAGCTCACACAAAATCAAACTTATTTACTAGAGAGTAAAAACAGTTTTTTTTTTTAAATAAATTTAATAAAAAATTAGAGAAAATAAAATTTAAGTGCTCAAAACGATGGCGTAGTGAAAATTGGTGATCTAAGTATTGCTTCAGGAATAAATGTATGAAAATTTATGATATTCAATTTTCAATCAAGTAAAATCATTCAATTAAGATTTTGCTTCTATTCTATGCAAATGCAGCGTCAAGCTTGTATAATTGGTGATGACTTTGGCATTTTCGTTTTTGCTTATCGCATTTACTCTTGTATTGTTTGATGATTTTCGTTAAGTGCTGTGATTTTTTTGTTTTTTTTTTTTTAAATATAATTTTATAAGAATTTTGTTGTGCAAATTATATATTTAATGCTTGTATATATTAATATTACGTATTTTATTAAGCAGTATATAATTTAATTTAAAGTAAATGTTAATAAGTAAAAAATTTTTTTCGAAAATAATTTTCGTGTATTTTTTATTTTTTTAATTTAAGAACGTGCAATTTATTTTTATGGTTATTGTAATTTTTAAAATATAAATATTTCAATGATTATTGTGTATATTTTCAAAAGATAAATTTTTTAAATGATTTTTGTCGTTTTCAAAAAATAAACTTTTTAAATGATTTTTGTAGTTTTCAAAATATAAAAAAGTTCGAAATATTAATAAAAATGGCTTTGTACAAAGTATCTTGAATGAAAATACTAGTAAGAATACGTTGATAACTTTGAGTTAACGAATTCGAAATTATTTTTTAAATAAAATAAAAGTTTTCCGTTCCGTGTATTAAAAAAGTATAAGATAATTTCGAAAAATTTTTTTGAATATATGAAAATAAAATATTAAATAGCTAATTACCAACAAAAAGTTTAAAAAATCGTTTTCAGAACGTTTAAAAAAAATTTCAAGTAGGTATAATTCGAAATTGCAAGTTTTTTTAAGAGTATAGCAAAAAAGTTAAAATTTTTCAATATCTTCGAAATTGTAAGCCTTATAAAAATCTTGCAAGATCCAATTAAAATATGTAGCTTTAAATGTTCAATAAAAATTTAAGAAAAAAATTCTTAATTTATGCAATATGGCGCATTTCAAAATTAAGAAATTTTAGTTAAAAATAAATAAAAAATTTACAAATCAATTTCGAAAAATTCAACACTTAACTTTTAAACATTGTAAGTGGTGTATTTAATATTTTAGACGGACATTTAATTTCAAAACTCAGGTATTTTAAAGAAACAATGATTCTGATGTTTAAGAAATTCCAGGAAAAAATTGTTATAGTAGTTTCAAACTAGTAACAAGTAACTAAAAAAAATTTAAATTTTGATAAACTAAAAAAAATGTGATTTATGATTAAAAGGTTGAAATTTTAGCAAATCTGAAACTTTTAAAAATATGTACAAAAAATTTAAATATGGAAAGATATTTTAAAATTGTACTTTTGGCTCGATTTTATTATTTTGAAATGAAAAAAATACTTAATATTTCTTTTAAATCAATTTTTAAAGTCAAAAACAGAAAAAAACCCGAATTTCGAAACATTAAGAACGAATCCTCAAACCATTTCCCATCAATTTCGAACCCTTTTTATGCAAACAAAAAAGAAACAGCAAAAAACTTTCAACTAAAAATCTTAAAACTGCCTTCCAAATCAATTTTTTTGCTTCCGTTTACCTGCAGAGCGTGGCCACAGCACCCAGTAAACGCTGAAAAATATGCACTATTGCACCAGCAAACGCAAAAAAAATATATATACAAGCTTGTACAACAGTATAAAAAAATTCAACAACAAAAAACCCCATAAATACTATGTGTCTAGACTTACCTGTCGCAGCATCTTCGTTTCATGGCGTTGATAGCCGAGCGATTGAGGGTGATTTAATTATTATAATATTTGAGGATGGAAGGGATTTACATACCTACATATATACATATATGTGCGAGCAAATACGCGAGTTGATGTATGTGTAGTTTTAGTATAGAAAATAATTGTGACATATCTAAATATGTATATATGTATATACGAGTATGTGTGTTGTGTTTTGGCATGCATGCAAACTCACAAACTCATAGCAGTATCATCAACTATTGCAATCAACGAATAACAAAAGAAATTATTGAATATGAAATCAATTATAAATGCAAGTAACTAGAATTCAATGGCATGACAGGGCGTGAATAGCGCCACAAAAGCACTGCACAACAAAAATCATCAAAAGAGAGAGGTGAGAGCATGGTTGCGTAAAAACTATTCGAGTAATGGAAAGTAATTTGCAAGGCAACTGTTTGCATAAATGAAGGTGTTCGGGGAATAATTTCATCATTTTGCAATTTATAATTTATACTTTTAGCGACAGTCAAAAGATTATAGCAACTGATAATAAATAGTTCGCTGGATTTTATTGTTTTCAAGCGTTGCCTACGGTGTAATTGCATTTATTATCGCATAAAAACACACGAGTGTAAAGTGTTAATGAATGGGTATGAAATTACTGTTAATATTTGTGACCAAAGTTAGTATGTATTGTGCATATGGCATGCAGTTGGTAGGATGACATTTCCAGCAAAAGAACTTAACGTACTAAAAGTCTTTTATGGACTATAACTTTTGTGGCGTTTAAATGCCAACAAAAGCAGACTTCTTCATTTAATCAAGTGAAAATATTTATTGTAGTTCGAAAAGCTTTTGAAGATATATGTATGTATATATTTTTGGTGTAGACATAATTTTTTTTAGCATTTGTTTGTCTTTTCTCTTCCTTTTAATATATCTTTTCTCGTTATCTTTTGCCTTACACACTTTTCACAAAACACCAGCCGTATTAGAGCAAAGTATAAATGTGAGGAATGCGAAAAAAAAGAAGCACTTTAACATAAAGAAATCATTTACAGACTACATAAAATATTTAATTAACTGTCACTTACATTCAAATGCGCATACTGATCGTGGGACTCGTTCGCTGGTGGCTTGAACTTGCCACAACAGAAGTTGCAGCAGCAACAACAGCAGCAGCAGCAGCAACAGCCAGTCAAAATAGTGCAGCAAATAACTAGCGCCTGTAGATGTAAAAATATTGAGTTTAAAATTATAAATGATTGAGATCTTAGGAATGCCATCTAAAAAAATACTTTCAATGCAAAAATATTTAACAATTTGTATTACTATATTTTATTATTTTCACATTTTAATTTTCATATTTTGTTATAATTTTCCAAATTCTATTATTTTTACTTTCTTTCAAAATTTTTATATTACTTTTTCTTTTGTACTACATATTATGAATATTTATAAATAGTTTTTTATTTATTTTCTATTTATACCAATTTTTATGTTTTATTTGTTTGTTTATGTATTTTAATTTTTATTTATTTTTATTAGTTATGTCTTTCTTTTTTATTAATTGTGATAACTTTTTTATTTTTAAAATTTTTTATTATTTTTTCATTAATTCTTATATTGGAAATTTTGAATTTAATTTAATTTTTTTCTATTTTTCTTCAATTTTTTTTTTTAATTTTTTATTTATTTTTCAATTTTTTTTATTTTTAAATTTTTTATTTATTTTTAAATTTTTTATTTATTTTTAAATTTTTTATTTATTTTTAAATTTTTTATTTATTTTTAAATTTTTTATTTATTTTTAAATTTTTTATTTATTTTTAAATTTTTTATTTATTTTTAAATTTTTTATTTATTTTTAAATTTTTTATTTATTTTTAAATTTTTTATTTATTTTTAAATTTTTTATTTATTTTTAAATTTTTTATTTATTTTTAAATTTTTTATTTATTTTTAAATTTTTTATTTATTTTTAAATTTTTTATTTATTTTTAAATTTTTTATTTATTTTTAAATTTTTTATTTATTTTTAAATTTTTTATTTATTTTTAAATTTTTTATTTATTTTTAAATTTTTTATTTATTTTTAAATTTTTTATTTATTTTTAAATTTTTTATTTATTTTTAAATTTTTTATTTATTTTTAAATTTTTTATTTATTTTTAAATTTTTTATTTATTTTTAAATTTTTTATTTATTTTTAAATTTTTTATTTATTTTTAAATTTTTTATTTATTTTTAAATTTTTTATTTATTTTTAAATTTTTTATTTATTTTTAAATTTTTTATTTATTTTTAAATTTTTTATTTATTTTTAAATTTTTTATTTATTTTTAAATTTNTTTTTTTTTTTTTTTTTTTTTTTTTTTTTTTTTTTTTTTTTTTTTTTTTTTTTTTTTTTTTTTTTTTTTTTTTTTTTTTTTTTTTTTTTTTTTTTTTTTGATTATAATAAATAAATTATTCGCAACCACATGCTACATTTCCAACTTACTTTATCGGCGGCTTCGGTATTATTTGGATTTTTATCTGGATGGTATTTTAGTGCTAATTTTCTGTAAGTCTTCTTAATATCATCAGCCGTAGCTGTTTTAGGAAGTCCTAATATTTGATATAGAGAATCGCCCGATGTACTGTAAATATTAAAAGTAAAATATATTAATAAAAAAATCATAAAAGTTCCATAATTTCCCACAATATACCAGAAAGAACAAACGGTTTGTTTACATTCAGCCCTCATCTATAAGGCGTTGTAACGGAAATCCCAGCACCATAACTTATGTATTTTATACAATTTTTATTACAATCAATAAAACGTTGCAACTTGCTGCTTTTGCTGCTGCTCAGCGCGTTATAGTTTATTTTAAAATCAATTACAAATAAACATTGCCACACACATTTTCACAAATAAACCCATTTCACGACTAAGGAGAGACTACCATGCCGTGTACTTGACTTTCAGCATAAATCCTTTACTTGATTACAAAAAAAAAGAAAAAAAATAACAATATAAAAACATAAATAAACAAGCTTTTACATACGAGTATGTGTGTCTATGAAGCTGCAAACATACAAGCTTCCGTTACATATTTGCTTGTGCATATTAGCGTAGCTCAAAGTACAATCCAAATAAACAATGGATAAAATACAGAGCTGCAAAAAAATAGCCAAGACAAAGAAAAATTACAAAGAAACCAACAAGAATAGTTGTCTTCGGTCATGCCGAAATCTTCATACCTTCGATGAACATATCATATATATGGCCTTTTATGTTTGTAGAAGCTTTTTTGAAGGGTTTTGGCTCCAAAACCTCACATCCGATATAGTGCTCCGATTTCGATGATTTTCAGTGAGAATGTTTATTTGTAAATACGTGTGTGATATACCAAAGCATACGCTTGTAGATGCTATAATGACTGATTTTTGACCAAAAACATCATATCTGAACAAACCGATTGTATGGGAGCTATTTAATATAGTGCTCCGATTACAATGATTTTCATTGAAATTGTTATTTGTACATACATATATGTATAGAGTAAAAAATTGCAAAGGCTTTGATGCTTTTTTGACAAGTTTATGATCGAAAATCTCGAACCAGATCTGGCACGTTCTGACAAATGATTCTTTAAATGTACTGAGGTACTTGTTGGGGTGCAGACAGAAAAACAGGCCGACTTGGCCTATCACTTTTAATTCTGATATTTGCATATATACATACATACATACTTCCCACCCAAGTTATTGCACCATTACATATACATAAAAGGTATAAGATAGAGATTTCTTATAAGTAGCAAGATGATGATTGATGATGATATTGAGACGACAGGCACAGGCCGCAGGACTGAATAAGCTAACCACAGTAGCCGCAGAAACTAGAAGGCAGAGAATGAATGCTGTGAAGAGCGCTTAGAAATGCATGTTGAATGAATTTTTTAATAAAAGTGTGCAACGAAAAAATTTTATATCGACCAGCGCTGAAAAGTTATGGCATTTTTCACACAACTTAAAGTAATAACTTTCAGGTCGATGTTCAAGTCAAGAGAATAATTATTAAAATTTAAATTTTGCAATAAAAAAAAATAAATAAATAAAAAATAATAACAATAAAACGAGAGTGAACGATATTCACTACGCTTAACAACGTTAATTATTTGATATATTGCCTAATTATAGCGTCAAATAACGTAGCACACAAGCAAACTCACATACAGACATACATACATACACATGTACATATGTATATAAACCTTATCTCTGCAGCAATGTGGGTTTTAAAACATGCGATAGCAGGCAAATTATGTAAAGCTTATTAGAATGGTATGAATGCAAGAAAGAGTAAATTTTCAAAGAATTTTAGAATTTTTTTTAAGACACATTGTGAATTTTAGACCGTTTCGAAATAGAGATTTTTGCAACTATTTCGCTTAATGTTATATTTTTCAACAAAACGGAAATGTTACTTTGATATTTAACCCATTTATTATACAAATAAATTATTTTAAAATTCTTTAGATAAATCTTCGAAAAGCTAACCTATAAGTGAACCATAGAATAACGAAAATACACAACATTTCCTCTAATATTAAAGCAAACAAATCGTTGCAGACAAAACAGATCGCAAATTCAAAATTTAATACAAGAATGTTAGCGAAATTAAACCCAAAATGTGCCAAGGGACTAACTATTTGGAAAATTAAAAAAAAAAAAAATAATAATAAAAAAAAAATAATAAAAAAATAATAATAAAATAAATAAAAAAAAAATAAAAATTTGTTTGCTAATTTACACGCATTTGTGCTCATACTTTGATTTCCTAGCGCTAATCTACATATTTACATGCATACATACATACATATGTATGTGCAATTCTGGCTATTGAAGTCCCTCGATGACTCACTGTAAGCCAAACACACAGTTGTATAATATATAGATGATAGCTCCGATGCAATGTGTTTTTTGGAATGTGTTTGCATATGAAAAATAAGCAAAAAATGTACATAAATAAAAGGCAAACAACAACTAAAAAGTAAATTTGCTTATCGATGAGTTGAGAGCGAACGAGCGACCGAGCGACCGACGACCGACAATAACGTGCTTGTCTATAATAAACATGCATGAAAATGTAAAGAAAAAATGTAATAAAATAAAATATAACAAAATACACAGCACACATTTATTATTATACTGAGAAAAAAAAATGTTAGTATTGCGCAGAATAGACGCTAACCACTGCTGCTTGCCTCGCTGTCGGAAACTTGCAATGTGGCAGCGGAAGAGTTGCACCAGCAACAATGGTGGTAGCAGCCGCGAGTATTGCAATTACTTTTCTTTCTTTCTTTCTTTCTTCCTTCTTCATCCTCCTCCTCTAGCACGCTAGCAGCTCTTTGCAGCCCTTGGTGACGGCATTGCTGACTGATACCGCCCTCTTTTTGGTGCTGCCCTCTAAACCTCTAACCAACATCAGCCTTGTGGCCTAGCATTGACACTGAAAAAGGCGCGGTTCTTGAGGAAGGTTTTAGCGTTCACACGTGAAATTGGTATGAAATTTTCGCAAAAAAATATATGTACAATATATACAAGAGGTATGTTAGAAAAAAAATTGTTTTTTTAAGCATTGAAATGAGACAACAAATCGTATCAAATAGGCCAAAAAAATAGTACGAAATCATAAATCGGACCCTAAGGTAATTTATAAATATGTATGCAAATGTGTAAACTTTCAACCAACAGGTGGAGAGGCTTACCATTGCTAATCACTCTCACTCCCTAATCTTTATATGTATGAATGTAGGCATAATTTCAGACATAAGTATATGAATATTTGGATACATAGTATGTATGTATGTATGTACATATGAATATATGCTTAATCACACTTCATCAAAGGTCGAAAGCCTACATTATGGATTTTGAGTGGAAAAGTGCTTTGCAAGGACATATATAGACAAATGGTACTGGTATGACATATTTACATTGGTAACAATGAAAGAAGGTATAAAACAAAATTCGTCATTTTATGAAATATTTTTCTACCAATTTCTAACGTAAGAAAATTACAAATATATTCATATAGATAGCTGTACACATATGTATGTACCAATAAGTATATTTTGAAATCCAGATTTTTGCTAGGGAAAGCACACTCTGTACCTACATATTGAAGGGTAGGAATATAGTAATTTACTGCATATTTGTGGTTGGCATTTACAATGTACTCATTTGAAATGTGATGTGCAGTCAGAAAGGCGATAAGAAAATACAGTACAATAATTGTTTAGACGCTAATCTTGTCATGAATGTATTTATATGTATATATGTATATAAATACATACATTTATATAGGTACCTAGCACGCTAACGACAACGCATTTAAGATAGGAACGCACTAGGCAGTGCAACACCACACAAGAATTTTCGATACTTACACGGTATTGAATTTTCTGCGATTTATTTATTAATTTAAGTGCAAAATACAATATACTAACAATTTCAGTTTCCGAAATAACTGATACGAAAGTATATTATTTTGGAAACTTGGCCAAAAACTATCACTGTTATATTGTATGTATTAGGCTCTTTGAATACATGTAATTTTTTTGGGTTGGCAGATTTCCACTGCTATTGGTCTATTGCATTATATTTGAGGTTTGTCTGGGCAATAAACTGTGTTAATATCTAGAAGCATTGTGTAGTGTCGTTTCGTCACCCATTGAAGTCTCACCTTTACTCGGAAATTAGATAATAAAAGTAACAAAAAAAAAGGTGAAAAAATTACTAACTATTTCTGTGAATATACAGATAACACAGTCCGTTACACAAAAAAACATATAATCAAATGGAATGTATTGATTAGACGAGTGAATTGAAAATAGGCTTAACATATTCCAATTACACTTGGAACAATTTTATAAACTGATTTACAAATATGCAAAGAAAAATTATAGGTTTTTTCTTAAATATAAAAATAAACCACCCTTACTAACAATTCACTAGCAAATTTAAAATTTTTAATGCCAAGGTTGTCAACTCATTTCACATTTCTCTCGTACCAAACACCATTCAAGGGCTTTTATGGACTACCGTGCTATTTTCTTAATTTAGCTTTCTTGCCATTTCCTTCATTTGGTCAACACTGTCCAAATACAAAATAAGTATGCTTTTTCTAAATAAAATTAATTTCGCATGTGTTTTTCTTTGAATTTTTTTAGATAGACAGCATTTTTTCTCAATTTTTCCTATGTTCTCTTCCTTGTTTGGTTTTTGCAACACATATGTATCAGCACCATCATCATCATCATGATCATCATAAACAACCAAACTGTAAAAACCCACCCGCCCACCAACCCAATCAAACACCCAGTTAGCCAGCGCCAACTTGTCAGCAGTTCAAATTCTGCCAACATTGTAGCGCATACAATCATATGGAAAATCAATTAAAAGTCGACCGCAACGCTTCTGCCAAGAAAGTTTGCCACTGCAGTTGTGCTCTCTTTTCGCTATTTCTTTTATGCCAACGTCGCTGTAACTGCGAAACGGCAGCTGCGATATTGAAACATATTTTATTTTCAATTCTTTTTCATACTTCATTCAAAGCGTCACATATTTGCAGCTGTTACTGTACTACCGTTGCCGCCGCCGCCCACCGACGTCATGCATATATATTCCTTTTTTAAATTAAAATAATCACGTTTTATTCACATTATTCTTTTAAGTTGCTGTCGTGCAGTTGCCGCGACGGCCGCTGCCATTTGCTGTTACTTCGAATTTCTCTACTTACGACAATTTTCTTTTCTCTCCCATGCCACCAGCACTCATTTTGTTCTGTCGTTAATTTTTTTCTTCTTGCGCTTGCGAAAACTTTTAAATCACTGTTATTAAACAATTGGTATTGTTTAATATTCAAATCACGTCTTTAGATAATACACTTTGTCGATATAATATTGATACTCGCGAAATTTCGAGCAGAATCGGAATTCTTTTGTATATTTTCTGCACTTATGGCTGGCTGCGAATGAATCCACTTTTTTCTTTCACCTGCGCCCTGCGTTTGACAAGAGTGTAACCAGACCGAATGGTTCTTGAAGGGAATTAAAATAGTGCTGCCATTATGTAGCAAGAGTTCTCATATTCTAAGTGAGTCAAATAAAACTTGGTTTAAAAAAATGGCTCTATTGCAACAATCCAATTGGAATGCCAGAGCTTAAAACGTGGTTTGGCCCACATCCAAAATTTTAGTTTTTCAAACATTCGAATGCAGTTTAAAAATAATTAGAGTCCCATAATTTCTTGAAAAACAGTAGGAAACACATCACAAATTGAAAGACAAGTCCTGCCGAACAACGTTTCTATTTGATTTGAAGTCATATGGTCATTATATAGGATCTTTTGTGTTTAATATCACTAAAGTAAAACACAAATATATGCTGCATAGATTTGGGCACCGAAGACTAACGAGAAGTTAAACGCCTGCAAAAGACCGCCCTTAGGACCATAATAGGAATCCTTGTGATGTCGCCAGAGCACATCGCAGCATTTATGCTAGAAGTTAAAGAGCATAATGCTTTGCTGTAAAAGCAATTTCTGCTTGGCAGCTACCGTAGGGAGCACTCCAACAGTCCTTTATTCGAATCTGAACTTACACTCAGACACATTAACTTAAGAGACTGCTGTCAGCAACATTTACAATAACCGCTCTAAACTCCATACATGAAGGGTCCATCAACACCATGAACTTCCTCCTCGTGAAAGGCGTCCCGGAGTCAAACCACCGCCTATAGCAGACGAAGAGCTCAAGCTGCCTCGAGAGTTCTTCGTAATACTTGCAACGCTGAGGTCTGGATATTATAGCAGTGCTAAAGCCCTACTTATACAGACTTGGCCCAAACATACTCAACGTATGTCCTCCTTGCAAGGAGTTCCCACCTTTTTATATGCCCCTAAAACGTGCTCATGTAAGACCTATCGTAGTTGAGAAGTGCATTCTATTGGAAGGCATAGAATTATTTTAAATTGAAAAAAAAAAATTATGGTGAAGAATCCACCATTTAATTAAAAATGTATTAATGTTTCGTGCGTGTCACCCTGTTTTTGAAACAAAACGTACGCCGTTAAAATATTAGACAACGGCGACTGTTTATCAACTGTCAAACTGACAATCGGCTGTCAAAATATTCACGTGTTTACCGCAGTGGTGTATAGTTTTGCAGATTTTTATAAAATAATTACTTTATTTTAACAATAAATAAAAAATGGGTAAAATCAAGACTGAACCGGTAGATCAAGACGCATCCGTTGTCTCCGTAGCAAATGTATCGGTGAAAGAGGAGGATACCTATGATGACAAACTCAAATACGTGAACAGCATTTCCCAGCCAATGGCTTCACGTAAAATGGCCAAAAAATGCTACAAATTAATTAAAAAGGCGATGAAACATAAAACATATCTACGCAATGGCTTAAAGGATGTACAAACACGCTTGCGCAAAGGAGAAACTGGGTGAGTTGTGTGATAATATAAGGAAGTAAAATATGTGTCGCAAAGTTTTTAATTGAATATATTGTATGTCTCCATATAAGTTTTTAAATAAATTATAATTATTTATTTATTTATTATAGCATTTGCATCTTTGCTGGCGATGTTACACCCATCGATATTATGTGCCATTTGCCTGCCGTGTGCGAAGAGAAGGGTATTCCATATGCGTATACACCAAGTCGTGCTGATTTGGGCGCCGCTATGGGTGTGAAACGTGGCACAGTTGCATTGTTGGTGCGCGAACACCAAGATTATCAGGATTTGTATGATGAACTAAAAGAGGATATATCTGGTTTGGGTGTACCTGCCTAAAAATCAGCTTTGGCTTATCAGTGCCTAACTGTAGTTTAAGAGATTTCCTACGTCTTTTTATTATATTCTAATAAGTTAAATAAAATAAGATATTGTAATAAAAAATATAAAATGTTTACTATTTTTTTTTTTTTTTTTTGGAAAAGGTGACTACTGAAAGTGGTAAGTTGTGGTGTATATATAGTGTGCGTGATACCATGAAATGCAAACGCTTGTTTTTTTGGTTGTCCCTGTGGGATCTTTTTTATTTGCGTATGCGCAGTTTTTTCTCTTACTTTTTGCTTAAATTTTGTTATAATTATTTTCTCTTTACTAAAATTACAGAAATCCATATAAATAGTATTTTGTAGCTATACTTAACGGTAAGTTTGTTTTTGTTTTAAGTAGATACATTATATATAGTTAATTGTATGTTATTTTCTGCACTTTTTCTTAATATTTTTATATACTATTTTTTATTTATTACTTCAACTAGCTTTGTTTTTGCATGTACACTTTGCTGGTAGGTTTATACATATATATATATATTTTTAAATAGCGTTACTGTTATTAGACAATTCTATTATTTTTTACGTTTTTTTTTTGTTCTTTAAAAGACCCGCATTGTAAAAGCATTTTTTATAATTGGTTTCCTTTAAGTGGTAATGGTGGCTTAGTATTCAGAAGATAAAAATTGTAGTGAAATTAAAAAAATCAGACTGCAGAATTTTTTCGAAAAATATAATTTAGCTTGCATATAAAAAATAATATGAAAAAATTTGGAATTCCTTCTAGTTTAGCGCTTTAGAATATTTGTTTTTATATAAAAACTCAGTTAATAAAAATTCCTATTCAAATAGCTGTTTTTGAAAATTAATCATATTTAATATTCAAAAAATTTTATAACAAAAATTATTCTGGGAGATTTTAAACTAGCTTTGAATTAAATTCTAAATTAGAAATATTTGAGCTTGATCGAGAATACATTTTGAAATTATTAATTATTATAAAAAATGTAAGCGCTTATTTGAATTTTTTTTTAATTTTTTTGTCACCAAAAAAAAGGTCCCCATTCACCACTTCTGAAATCAGGTAAATCTAGCATTTAAATTCTCTGCAGTCCTCAAAATTAAACAAAAACCAAAAACCAAATATGGGAAATATACTAACAAAACCATTTCATATTCGAAAGACTTTTAAGCGACTTTTTTTAAACTTTTTTTTTTTTGGTTTTGCTTGCCTAAAATCACCACACATGGGTTCAAAATGCTTACAGCACTCGAAAGTGGCCTTACTACACCCAAAGCTTTTGTTTGTTTAGTAATTATTTATAAATATTTTTTTTTAATAATTTTTTTTTTTTATTTACTCTTTATAATTATTTTCACTTTATATGCTAACTTCATTAGATTTTATGTTTTTTTTGTATATTTTAATTAATTTTGAATTACTTTAAGCAAATGACAATAATAATTTTTAAAACTTTTTTTATTTTCTGTACGATTTCGTTTTTTTTAATAAAAATAAAGAAAAGATTTTTTTTAATTATCATAATTATGCAATTAATAATAGTAATAATAATAATAATTATCATATAAGAAATACATAGTTATAAGGAGCGCATTTAATAAGAATATAATGTAATAATTATATATATATATATATATATATGTTTGTAAAAATAAAAAAATAATAAACCGTTTATTTATATATCTGTATATGTGTATGTATGTGTTGCTGTGTATTTAATATTAGATAAAATTATTTATAAACAATGCATGTGTTGCTACATATATATATTAGAAGTATACATACATATATGTATATTCATAATTAATTATAATAATATGCAATTAAACTCTGCCTGTGTGTGTGTGTGTTTGTATGTGCATGTCTAGTATATATATATATATGTGTGAGTGTGTGTATCTTGTTTTATCGCTTAAAAAAAAGAGTCTAACTCAGCGCTTATTGGGCCGAAATTCGCAGCATAATTTTTAAAACTAAAAAAAAATTGTAATTAATTGTACATTTATAATTAATTAATTATATATTTTAAAGGAGAACATAGTTTTTTTCTTTATTTAATTAATAATATTAAATGTAGTTATAATTTCATTAAATATATTTATGTAGTTATATAATATAATTTTTGCATATTAGCAGCTAATAATAATAATTGAAAAAAAATTTCAGTAATTTTTCTTGCTAATTTTAAATTTTACAAATTCATATTAAACATTTCATTGCAATGCAATTTTATTTTAATTAATATATTTTTTTTTTTGTTTATAATTCTTTTACTCAGTTGTTTTTGTTTTTCTCTCTTTCTTACTAGCAAACGTTTATGAAAATTTACGCTAAACTTAGTTTGTATTCTTCATATATAAATTTTACAGCAGTTTTCTGTTTTTGCTTTGTTTTTTGTTTTTTTTTTTTGTTTGTGTTAAGTGTTAAATTTATAAGTTTTTGCAGTTTTTTTTCTGTATTTGAATTTTTTTAAACTTGTTTTACATTTTTTTGTTTTTAGTAAATTTTTGTTTTTTTTTTCTTTATTTTTTGTTTCTCTGGTAGTTTTCATTTTTGTTTTTCTTTTGCATTGTTTAAATCTACGTTTATATTCAAGTGACACGACACGTTAAAAACTTATATGTATGTATGTATGTATTTTTTTTTGTTATTTATATACTCTGTATGTATGTATGTATATTGGTTTTATGTAAAATGTTAATATTAATTTTATTTTATTTATTTATAAGTAATTTAAATGTTTATGCATTTGAAATAATTCATTTTTCTGTTTTTGTGGTTTTTTTTTACTCCTTATTTAATAGTTTAAACTTTATTTGCCATAATATATATATGTATTTTACACACTTAGCTTTTTTTGTAAATTATTTACTACATATATGTATATGCAAAGTTTTTTGTTTTTGTTTTTTTTTTTTTTACTTTATGCAATATTGAAATTTGTTTGCGTTACAGCTAGAGAATTCTCGAACTTTTTTTGCGTTCACTACTTTTTACACACTATTTTTAGTTTTATTTCAAACATAATTTTATGCACATTAGGTGGCAATAAATAATATTTAATTAAGTTAATGTAATTTTATTCTTTTAGAAAAATTTATACAACTACTTTTATTTAGCAAACATTTTAATATTTACTTTCTCATAATCAAACATAATTCTCAAATCGAAAATTTAAACTAAAACTTAAAATATTATATATGTATATATATTTTTTTTTTGTAGTTTTTATGCACAATTTGGGGCTTGCAAGTTTTTTCAATTAATTTTTTTTATTTTTATTATTTTTTTATATGTATGCGTATAAATGTAGGCAGCGTAGGTGTGGCGTTGTGTATGAGAAGGAGGTGAAACGCGACAAATATATATAAAATAATACAGTTAAACTAAAATATCTTTCAGGTTAGGTGACTCAAGAATTTTTATTCAAAAAAAACTATTAAAGCGCAGTTATAGCAGGATTTTCGTACAAAAAAGCATTAAGAAACAGCATAAAAAAATATATAGAAAAAAAAATAAATAAAATTTAGAAAAAAATAAATAAAATTTAGAAAAAAATAAATAAACTTTAGAAAAAATAAATAAACATTAGAAAAAAATAAATAAAATTTAGAAAAAATAAATAAAATTTAGAAAAAATAAATAAACATTAGAAAAAAATAAATAAAATTTAGAAAAAAATAAATAAAATATAGAAAAAATAAATAAAATATAAAAAATTAAAGGGAAAATTTTTTTTAAAAATAGAGAACGAAGAAAAAAATAAAGAGAATAAAAATTTTAGATAAAAAAGAAAAAAACAATACAGAGTAAAAAGGAAAAAACAATTAGGAGAAAGAAAAAAATTTTATAATAAAAAAGAGAAAAAAGAGAAAAAAGAAAAAAAATATAATGGATAAAAGTAAAAAAAAAAAAACATTTAAAACCCAAAAAAAAAATTAAATATAAGTAAATTAAATCTACGAAACTAAATTCTTGAGATCAATATATAATATAAACAAGCTGCACAAGGTAAGAAACGCACTTAAATTTATGTAAACAAAAAAGTTGGAATAAAAAATGGAAATAATTAGGATGTAAAAGAAAAACAAATCAGGATAAATAAATAGAAAAAAAAATATAAATGATTAAGAAAAAATGGAAAAAATTAAATACAGCAAAATGGTAACAAAAAATTGGTAAGAAGGAAAGCAATAGTTAAAGAAAAAAAATTAAAAAAGAGATAAATTAAAAGAAAAGAAAAAAATTTAAAAAAAAATAAAAAAATAAAATAAAAGAAAAAAATAAAAAAAAAAGAAAAAAAAAGAAAAAAAATAAAAAAATTAAAAAAAGAAAAGAAAAAATTAAAAAAAAAAATAAAAAAATAGATATAAAAAAAGAAATATTGAAAAAAGAAGAAAAAAATTAAAATAAAAAAAAAATAAAGGCAATAATTGGAAAAAAAATGGAAAAAATTACATAAAGAAGAATAAAATGGACTGTTAGGATTGCAGCATTGGCAGGAAAAACCAATGTTAACCAATAATGGCTTAGATATAAAAATAAATTTAGGTTCAAGTTATTTTTCTTTATGGAAATATTAAAAATAACAATAATAATAATGTACAATAACTCAAAGAGAAAAAGATAAATAAAATAATAATAACTGCTTCAATAAATGCCTAGCACTAAAATTATATGCCCCTACTACTGCCAGCTTATATCGCCAAATACATTTTTCGTACGTTTGTTTCCCCGCACAATACAACTTTTGCTAACCTCTTACACGCCTGTACGCTTTAAAAATTACACCACAGCAATGCATATACAATACATAAGTTGCGTTTGTGTGTGTGTTTTTCTTTTTAAAACATTATCGCATTAAATTAATTCTAAATATTTACTTAATTCCATTTACATACATACAATACATTCATATTATTATATATACTATGTATATTTCATTATTTATTATAAATTTATAAATACACCAATTATATATTTATTAGTATATATATATATATGTATTTAAATTTTCTTTTATATAAATAAGTCAACATGCATTGTATGTAGCAGATGATACACAGCGACTAAACACTGTTAATAGTCATCTACAAAAACAATTTACATGCTTTGTTATAATTAAACTTTTTTCCATTTTTTTTTTAATTCTTTTCTTCTACTCTTCGGTATTATTACAATATTATTCATTCAAGTATGTATATATAATGTATAGATATTTATATATTTTTAAATTATAAACTAGGCAATATTATTTATAATAAAGTTTTTTTTTTCATATACGATAAATAAATTAGGCGCGTTTTGGCTCTGGCGACATCAGTGTGGTGGTGCGTTAAGTCGCGGTGTGTACTCAACAGAGAGTTGATTGAGATTAGGAGGGAGAGAGAGAGAGATACAGTTTCCATTTCACGCACGTCGACGAATAAGTTGTCTTCCAAACAAATTTTCCCTTCTTAAGCTAAGCTTGGATTATTTTTTTACAAATTAGAAATAATTTTTAATACTACCACTTTTTGAAAATAAATGATTATACAATATTATAAAAACTTACAACTTAAATTAATAATTATAAATTACATTTACAATAATAAGAGCAAAATGGGCTTAAAATGGCAGGAAGACGTGGAAAAGATGGTGATGTTTTCATTAAAAAAAAAAAAAAAAAAAGAATACAGGGTTGAAGAAGAGCAGAAATCAAAAGAAGCAACTAAAGAAAAAAAAAATTGAATGCTGCTGTGGTTACGTTATCGCTTTCGTTGATGGATATGAAAAAAAAAAATATTTTGGGGTTATGTTTTTCGAAATATGCATATTTATCAAAAATGTCTACTACAAAATACGCGAAAGTAAGAGCTATGCAAATTTGCAGTTAAAAGCTACAGTATTTCATACTTTTTTCCCAATAAAATAACCTTCAAAGGTATAAAAAAAAAATACCAGAACTTTCACCCCTTTAATTCGACAATAATCGTATCTAAATTTCTTAGTTTGGCAGTTTAGTCGCTCACGCAACGATGATGCAATTTTTAAATGCCAGAAATGTGAAAATTTTTAAATTTCTTTCAACTCTTATCAACTTTTGCTCTCGCTCTCCTTGACCCTATCTCTGCGTAGTCACCATAACAATCTAAATGAATGTGAAATACTTGCCCGCCGCCCGCCTACCACTCACACTGAACGTCGCCAAAAATATACGCGCAGTCCACGCAGCGCCCCCACAACATCATATGACATCATCATTACAACACGTCAGTGCTGTGCAACAAAAATCGTGCCCAGCGCTAAACTACAAAAACTTGTTGGCTCATACGCCCACACACAGCATTTTTAAGCCTAAAAGAACTTCACCACACTACCACCATTGCTTGCTAAAAAAAAAAAGTAAGAAAGAAGAGACTGCAAGGACAATGGCTCAACAGCAGCTAGGCAAAGTTATCTACTTATTGAAAATAATTATAGAACCCATTCGTGCCTTGACCCAGTTCGCGTATGGCCGCAAAGAGATCCTTCTCTATTTCAACGCCGCTACCACCACCGCCGCCACTGGTGTTGCCACTACCAACAGCGCTGCCAACACCTACGCCACTACCTGGTGCGGCGCTGGTGGGCGGCTCGGCATGATGACCGGCGGCGTTTGGATGATGATGATGAAAATTGTTATGTTGTTGTTGTTGTTGCTGCTGCTGCATTGTATGATGCTGTTGTTGATGGTGGTGCTGCTGCTGTTGTTGTTGATGGTGTTGCTGCTGCTGCTGTTGTTGATGGTGCTGCCCTTGGCTGAGAACCGCGGCATACGTTGTGCTATTTCGATTATCCACATTGTTGTTGTTGTGATAATGCGTTTGATGATTGTTGGTGAGCGTTGCATCGTTGTTGACGCCACTATTGCCACCGCCGACACCGCTGCCACCACCACCACCGCCACCACCATTGCCGCTACCCAGCTGATGATCGCGCATAAACAAATCCAATTCATATTTTTTTGCCGCCGCTGATGGCGTACCATAAATGTCATAATTGTTAAACATTTTCTGAAATGAGCTACTGCTATTGTTGCCAACAACACCTGTTGGTTGCTGCGTTGGCGGCGGTGGATGTTGCGCTTGCTGCTGTTGTTGTTGTTGTTGCTGCTCCAGACCGGTGGTCGTTGTAATCGTGTTATTGGGCATTGAGGTGCTGGGCGCCGAACTTGTTGTTGAACTCGTTTGGAACAACGCTTCGATGAGGTTGCTTGCACTGGTATTCAAGCCGGCCAGTATATCAGTGGTGCCACCGCTGAGTATATTGTCTGGTGGTGGTAGCAAACGCCCGCTAGCATTGTTGCCACCGCCGATCGATGACGTAAGGCCGCCAATGCTATTGTAGTTGCTGCTGTGATTGCTCGATTGGCTGTGGTTGAGGGCATTGTTGGCGGTGCTAGCGTTTATATTCAAGCTGTTGCTTAAATTACTGTTCAAACTACCGTTACCCATGGCCTGACGACGGTACAACGGAACGCTTGAACCGCCACTCAAGATGCTGTCATCCCCACCGAGCAAATAATCTTTGCTATTCAATAAGGAATCTAATTGAGAATACAATGAAATATTAGTGAAATAAACTGCAAATAATAAGTATTTTATTAAACTAATTGATTTTCGAAGTATAATTACGAGTTTTCGAAAATAGATTCGAAGTTCAAAAAAGTACTCTTTTGGAAAATAATAATAAACAAACTGGATTAATAAACGGATTTTCGAAATTTAGCCCCTCTTATATTCGAAAATAAATTCGAATTTCAAAAACGAATTTTTTCACAATAAGCATGAATTTTCGAAAATTAACGAACCGGACAAATAATTGGATTTTTTTTCCAACGAAAATAAATTAGTTTTCCAATATAAATTCAAAATCAATATCAATGTTTTTTAAATTTAATAACGGTTTTTCGAATTGCAAAGTCAAACAAATTTTCGGATACATCAAACCAGTTCATTAAATTATCGAAATTCAGAAGTTTTGAAGTTAATTTTGGAACTAGATTCGAAATTCGAAATTTAATTAAGCATTTTCAAAAACAAATTCAAAAACGAATTTCGAAAGTGAAAAAAACCATAAACTCGTGGAAAAATGAATAAAAAGGGTAACGATCTACTCACTTCCTCCTCCCAGGAAACTACCACCAAGCGGTGGCTGCTGTTGTTGTAACGGCGGCTGGCCAAGCATGTGCTGTTGCTGCTGTTGGTGTTGCATTGGCGCAAACATCGCTCCCTTCTGCATATTATTCAACAACGGTTGTTGTAAGGCCGACACTAAAATATTTCCACCGCCTAAATCACCAGCGCCGCCGCCACCACCACCGCCGCCTAAGCCCGGAAACAGTTTCATTTGTTGTTGTGCCAGTGATGGGTCATGCCCACCACCACCCAAGCCGCCAGAAGCCGACGTGTTAGTACTGACCAGTGCCGAGTTCGACGTGCTGGACGCAAGAAGAAAATCACCACCGTTCATTAGATTGTTGCCATTAGCGTTGCGTGTAGCCGGCGTGCTGAATAGATTGCGTAAGATGGGCTGCGCATTACTACCATTCAGTAGGGTGTTGAAAGCCAAATCTATTTGTTGATTGAAATTGATGCCGTCCAAAGGTGGCGTCTCATCCGTGGGCGGAGGCAATAGGGATGGTGGTGGTGGTGGTTGTTGTGGACCTTGTTGATTGCCCAAAGCGGCCAGCGGATTCATCGGGTATGTGTGGTGCATACCACCACCAACACCACTACCACCGCCGCCGCCACCACCTCCTCCAACCATTAAGCTATTGCGCTGTTGTTGTTGCGGCTGTTGCATTGGTGGCTGCGGTCCAACGCCTCCATTGCCGCCGCCACCCATCAAAGCGGGCAGCATATATTGCTGCATGATATCGCGCGGCAGCAATTGATTTACGTTGAGATGCGGTGGCGGCGGTGGAGGTGGTTGCGACTGCATTTGCGGTCCACGCGAGTTCATTTGTTGGGCATGTTGCTGCTGCTGTTGTTGTTGGTTTAGCATGTTCAAAACTTGCCCCAAACCTTCGGTGAATTTGTTGACCGCCTCTTGTCCGTGAGTTTCAAGCAGCTTCAAGCACCACTTATACTGCGAGTCCTTGGGCTCGAAAGCCATGTCATATATACTCATATTGGGTGGCAGTAAGGCGGCATATTCTTGGGGTTGAGGGAAGCGTTGCGCCGACGGCGATTGTTGTTTATTGTTGGACGGCACAGGCGGTTGCAATGCGCCTGGCGGTTGGAAAAGGTTATTCGCACCACCCCCGCTTAAATTCAGCGGCGGCATATGTACATTGTTGAGAAATTGAAAGTCCTTATTATCCTTGCCGATCGCCGAAAGGTTATTCACACCACCGCCAAAGAAATTGTTCGCTGTGGGAGGCGCACCGGCGGGGCCACTGCCGCCTTGTGTTCGTGGTATGTATGGATCAAGTGGACTGATCGGGCCGTTCGGCATGCCGCCGCCCATATTGCGTTGATTCATCAGTTGTAGTTGACTGGGCGGCGGGGGTGGCGCATTGTTGCCGACGTACGCGCCAAACGTGCCATGCAATGGCGGTGGTTGTTGTTGTGGTCCGCCTGGTGCGGCATGCGGTCCGTAACCCTTCTTCGCCAAGTAGCCCATGTCATTCGAGTTGGCGCGCAGCTGTTGTGCATTCGGTGGTGGTGGCTGCAGCGGCACACTACCGCCGCGCATGCCCGCTGGCGTTTGCTGTTGTTGCGCGTTTGGTGGCGGAGGTCCCATTTGTCTGACGCCGCCACCGCCACTCACACTGTTCGGCGGTGGTTGTGGCGGCATTTGCTGTTGCTTATTGGGCAATGCGCTCCATGGATTCGATTGTGGTGGTGGTCCCCAAAGCGTTGCGTTGGGGTTCTGCGATTGCGGTCCTGCGCCTGGTGGTGGATAGTTACCGCCTGCACCACTACCGCCTGGTGGTCCGCCACGAAGCTGCTGTTGTGCTTGTTGCCACGGCATGTACTGTGCAGCGAATTGAGAAGGCGCCCCACCCGTGCCTGGTGGTGGCGGTTGATTCAAGTGTACGCCGGAAGGCGGCGGTCCGCGCATGTTATACTGTTGACCTAGCGGCCCCGGTCCAGGCGGTGGTCCTGGCTGTTGTTGTGGTCCGCCCGGTTGATGTGGCCCCAGTGCGCGCATATTCATGTGATTAGGCCCGTGTGTTGGTCCAGGAAAATGATGACTGCCGGCACCTCCTTTGCCGGCTACCATATTCTGATTCATCATAACTGCTGCGGCGGCTGCGGCATTATAGGCAGCTGCAGCGGCGGGATGCTGAGCGTACATTTGCATTTGCATTTGTTGTTGATGATTGGCTGCTGCAGCCATAGCGGCATGATGTGGTTGCATTTGACCACCGCCAGGACCCCCACCTCCACCGACCGCTGCAGCAGCGGCTAACATACCAGCCGTGTGCGGCTGCAATGGGCCGCCTGGGTGATGTGGTCCGGCACCTGGATGAGGGCCACCGTGGTGGTTGACGTTGGCGCCTGCTGCGCCCATCAAATACATGGCGGTCTGATCACGCAAGTACGCCTCCGGTTGCATTGCACGCGGTATAAACTCCGGGGCCAGCGGATTCAACACATAGCCGCGCTTGAACTCGACGCCATCTAACTGGGAACGCAAGTATGACCAAGTTATGCCAAATAAAGATTTATTCTCGTCACAGATTTCGATAAAACGCTCCCAAACCTTACGACAACGGCCAATCGAGCAGAGCGCCACGGGATCTCCAACAACTGCAACTAAACTCTGAGCGCGTGTTATCGCCGTATTAAGCAGCTTAGAGTTGCTAAGGAAACCATAATCGGCATCTTCCGCTGGCAACCCGCCCATACCGCTGGGATGCATGCCACCTTGTCCAGTCATCATTGCGTTGATCATTTGCGGCAAGCATGTAGCGCGCGTACGTACAGTGGACAGGAAGACGGCGCGAAATTGTTTACCTTGCACATTGAGTACACGTTCCACAGAAATACCGCCCATACGCCGTTTACGCAGCTCCGAACGTATGCGAAAAACCTGATCGGCATAGGGCGTCATTATACCAATGCTCGCATCGTTCACTTTCCCCCAGGCGACGGGCCATTTGCGGCGTAACTCCGATACACGCTCCACCACTTCATAAACTTCAGCGTTGTTGTAGAATGCTGTTGAATTCTTATCCTGCACATCTTCACCGCGCGTGGTGAAAAACGTCAACGGATAGAAACGTTCGTGTCGCGGCTGTTTGCCGGAGGCAATTAATTTCTGCTCATAAAATAATTCGGATGTAAATTTTATAATCGCTTCGTGAGCGCGGTAATTTTCGCAAAGTAAAATTTTACAAGGGAAATTCGAAGGATAATGATCGTAAAGGCGTTCGAGCAGCGAAATGTGTAATTTTCGTTCCTTTGCAAAGGCAGAAAACAATTCGGGACTCATTTGCATGTGATCACCAGCCAATACGATGCGCGTACTATCATTGGCCAACGCCAGCGGCATTATAGCCTCACATTCCATAGCTTGTGCGGCTTCGTCAAGAAAGATGTGAGTGAAATAACCTTTGGGTAGACCGAGGTTAGCCAACTCCATGGATATACTTAAGGTTACCACAACGATTCGATGCTTTTTGATGTCCTCGACGGTGGGGCGACGAAAATTTCCAGCAGGGTCTGTTATGCAATACTGTAGGAGAAGAGGGAGAGAGAAAACAAAATTTTACTTATTTAATAAAAAGAAAATATATGTATTTTATGGGTTTCGTATGGGTGGCATATATTCCACCTTTAGTAATAAGCTGGTTTACCTTTTGCACGACACTATTGACGGTGGCCACCCAACGTTTGTGGTAATACACACGCAATGGTGTTGCCTCCTCCACACCTTGTTCAATCCATGGATGCAGATACTCCTTGATATACAAGTCGGCCGCAGAGTTTGAATGAGTACAAATTAGAATCTTAGCCTCAGGCTGCGTTAAGAGTTGTTTGATTGCTTGAGCCAACGTATAGGTTTTACCAGTACCAAATGGACCTATCAACAGAATGGGAGGCAATTTGATGCTTAAGGTTGTTGTGATTGCATTTACCGCCTCACGTTGCTTTGCATTCAATTTCGGTTCACATGCATCGGACCATTGCTTTTTTGGTGTCCAGGGTATATTCGGTTCGGTTTCGGTGGCAGGAAATATTATTTTAAAATCGGTTATTTTATCAACTGCATTATGCCATTCACAGTAGGGCAAGCGATTCAGTTGAAATTGTATATCAACTTCGATTTCGGTGTCAGCCTTCAAACTCATACCCTCCACACATTTGGCAGATAATTTCAGATAAATCACATTTTTGCCTTTATCCTCAATTGTCGCTTCGTAGACACTACGTTTACGTTCTTTGAGTGGATGCATATCGTCTGGTGCACTAATGTATACGCTAGAACAGTTGGATAAAATTAAACGTCCAGCAGATGTGTCTTCTGAAATGTCTTTTCCAAGTCGCATTAATGCAAATAACTCGCCTGTCAGCGAGAATTTCGCCGTACTAGTAGCCATACCGGCTGGTGTCAGTATATAATTGGATGCCACAGTCAGTTTGGTGCGCACATTGTAGCGTGCGATTTGCTCATATCGTGCTATTTCCTCAACATACAGTAGCTCGTGTATGCGCGAACGATAATTGTGTTGTGTGAGGCGTTTCTCGACAATTGTCGATTGTGTTAGCGTAAAAGTTTGCGCACGTGGGCAAGGATAGCGTTCGAGCATTTCTTTCTCATGTTTCAGATCATTCAAGTAGGCCTCAGTCTTCAGATGTGTACCAATGGTGGTTTCGAATTTGACTAAATTCGTATTGGAGACATCCCAACGAGTCACCGAGCTGTTTATAATATCGCGTTTGATTTCCTCTATTCGCTCCGCATCGCCAACGGGCACCACATCGACACAAAGTTGTTGCACAAGCATTGGTTCGGTGCCCAAATCGAAGCACACTGTTTGTCGGAAGGTGCCATAAATGTCCGTGTGAAATTCAATGGTTACTCGGTGCTCTAGCAACGGCGTTTCTGCCTGTGCCGTGTCGTTGAACTCTTTCTTCGTTGAGTCCTTTTCACTTGACGTTATTTTATGCGTAGCTGACACCCATTCTTGGTTAGATTTAAGATCATATATGGGCGCGGCGCTGTCCAATTTGATGCCTGTTATGGCGTAATGATTACGATGCGCGTCTTGCAACATCGTCACGGCTCGTAACATACGCGTTGTTTTCAACACAAAAATCCACTCACGCTTTGAGCTTTTCGAACTGATACTCGTTACTAGTTCTTGTTCGCAACGTACTTCAACACCGTCCACCTTCTCGCACATGATGCGTTCGGGTGCGGTTGCTTGTATCCAACGTTCTAATATTTGTTCCGTATACGATTTGCCATAGAGCTCTTTTTCGCTAGCTTTTTGTAAACGCATACGGCGATATTCAAAACGTTCTTTCCACTCATTTAGCTCATCTTGTCCGTGTGCGTCTACGCATTGATTTCCATAGTGACATGTCTGTGTTTCCTGATATGCCTCGCACAGCGTATATGGTTCCATAGTGAAGCCGCGGGGTGGTGGTCTCCACTTCCAATCGCGACCTGAAAACAAGGGAACATTTTATTTCATAACAATTGAATGTTTAAATTTAAATATGCATTCCAGTTTACCCTCATATGACATAATGACATTTTGATGACTTTCAGTCTGGCAATGTTGGCGCAACTCATTGCGCGTTTCAAAACTAATAGCACAGTAGGAACAGTAGGTGGCATTGTCATTGTCATCGACAGCTGTACCAGGATTGGAGATCACATGCTTGCCACCAGACACTTTAATCGCGGCCAACAGATCGGTTGTCTTTTGCAATATTGTTGTGGAACTGCCACTTCCACTACCACTACTGCTACTACTACTTATACTACTGCTGCCACCTCCACTCCCAATAGAGCCGTTATGTTGACAAATAGAGCCTATGCTGTTGCTGCCATTTCCTCGGCCATCAGCACCGCTGCGTTCATTGACGCCTTCCCGTGTCTTTTTCAGTCCTTTGTTACTTAACAATTTGCTATATTTATCCAACGGCAGATTATTGGTAGCCCAATGATCCAATTTTGTGTCCAATATGGACATTTCGTCTTCAAGTCGTGACTGTGAGATCTTCTGCGTAAACTTGTGCCCATTTATCATTTGTAGTATGCATTTGTAACGTTCCAGTGTTTTGGAAATGTCTAAAAAACTTTGTTGACCATTTAACTCGAGAATCCATTCTCGCAACAATTGTTCAGCTTCCTATAAGTAAAATACATAAGTTAATATAAGTACAGAAATGTTTTTGTTAAACAAAAGTATATAACTTACAGCATATTTTTTCAGCTTACAAAGCGCATGCACGAGCCAACGGCGAGCACGTGATACACTTGCCAAACAATCCGCCGACTGATCAACCAGCAGCGCCAACACTTTGCGTGCATCGGCGAGGCACTGCTCATAGCGATTCAGTTCCAGCAAGCATTCACAACGTCCCAGTAGACAAGCTATTTGTCGATCTTTTTGCGAACGCGCCAGTGCTGAATTATTACTATTGGCCGTGTTGTTATTATTGTTTGCAGAGGCAATAGTGGCAGCGGCAGCGACAGCAGTTGCAGAGATTTGCTCTAATATTTGGTCGTAGAGCGAAACGGCACGCGACCAATTGCGCCGCCGCACCATTTCGTGTGCTTGCATTTCTTTCTCGGTCATTTTCTTCTTTTATGTTCGTCGTACTGTTTTTATTTATGATTATTTTTTTTATATTTTTTTATTTTTTATTTTTATTTTTTCAAGTATTATGTTTGTTATTGTGCACGGTTATGTTGTTATTAAGAGTAATATTGATGTATTTGATGCGTTTAATATTATACAAATCTATTTTACAAAGTGGTTAAATTAATTATCGGATTAATATATAAGTTTTGATGCTGCTTCCATTTCTTAATTAATTACGACATCTTGAAATGCTTATATTTACTGGAAATAAAAGAACAAATAGTTAATAAATCTATTAAATAATATTCAAAGTAAAGATAAAAAGTTTTCAGCATATTTATATATCTCTATTTAAGCTACAACATTCTGGTCATTTGTCCTTTTTTATGCAACATGTTTACTCATAAGTCATTGGAAACTTTCAAGGCACATTTACGATCATAAAATGCACTTTTTCTTTACTGCTTCTTAGCAACAACTTTTAAGCAGACCGGCGCAGTAATACCGCATTCATGTACATATAAAACAGCCGGAAGTTTAATGATGAAATACGCATTAATTTGCACCCACTCAGCTGGTGCCATCGTTTTCAGAACATTCTTCCTTTTAAAGATTTATCACTTAAACCTATGCCATTACATGGAACATTTTTTAGTAAATGAAGCACAGTTTTCAATGACCTCCTTATGCATATTACAACTTCGCATTGATATAAGTTTAAACCAACCAATTGCTTCGAGTTGACAGTATATAGTCTGTAGTATACACTTTAATCTATCATTCCTTTGATCTTCATTTTTTTATATTGCGGAAAACAATGTAATTTCATTTTCTTTCAATAGATTTAGTCTAGTGATTATTCTACTTGTGGTCACCATTTCTCTATTTTATACTTCGTAATTTCTGCTCTACCATCTTTTTATTTTATATTTTGTTGTGGCATTCGTTGTGGTAACTTTAGTTTTTTTTATATTATTTTTCTCCTTTATATATTTGTTGATTTGCCTTTTTTGTTTTTCTTTTCCAACTAGACGATTTCTCCTTTTACTCTAATTCTCGTTCTTGCCCTCTTGCTCACACTCGCGCCGCTTATGATTCTCATCTGCTTACGGTAGTATTTCGCAGCTCTTTTTTCGTCTGAACATTTTTTACTCGTTCACTTCTTTAGCTAGGCGACCTTATTTTCTATATTTGATCGAAATTTCACAATTTCCCAACTACTTTCACTTTTTATTATATTTTACACAACTTCTAAGTTGTTTTCCAACATATTTTAGATAATTTTATAATTTTTATAGAACAAAAAATTACAGATTATTTCATACCGTCCTCTATGGATGAATAAATTCGTAGCAGTCGTTCGGTGTCGTGTGCGAAATGGAATGATGCCAGACGTAAATTCACGCAATCAAAATTTAGTAGTAGAAACATTAAAATTCCAATTGTCTACTTAAAAAATTGATATTTGATTTATTCTAGTAATTATTTTTCCTAATAAATATTATATTACTCCTACGTCTCTACTTCTCTGGCTGTTTAACTGGAAATCTTGCCAGTTAAAAGTTCAAATATTTACCTGGGATAAGCTTTTTGTCGTAAGGGTCAACTAAAATGTAATGATTCCCGCAATAGTAACCATATCATATTACATGACCCTTCAAGCCAGTTAGGATTTTTAAGGACTTAGGGCTTGCATATTGAATGTGAAAGAACCAGAAAACAAAACATATTAATGGTCTTTCCGCATTATCTCTCACAACGGAGCAATCTACATTTACTCTTTTAAAATATTTTCAAACAAAATTTAGGGATTATTTTAGCATTACAGCCATAAAAAACAAACACTATCTAAACTATAGCATAGAAATTTTCGTCTTCACGAGCAAAATATTAACAAGAAATCAGCGCAAAGCAAATTCACATAGGGAAAAACAAGAATACAAAATAAAGAGCCTATGTATTCTGTTTGTGTATTCGTAGCACCGAAATGTCAAAACCGACAAAGGGAAAAACAAGCAATCATATGATGCGACAATTTCATCTTCAATAAATTCTTATTTGGGCGGATGATTCCGTTATGTCGTAATAAATAATTATTGCCAAGGGACACAAGAAACGGCCTTTCTAGAAATTTAACTCATGGTACTGAGGATTTCATGTAATTGATTGCGGGTGATTCTCTTCTGCTTGCACCTGGCAATCATATAGCCAGAGAAACAATTATCTTAAGATCTGGCAGTTCTCTAACCCAAGAAAGTGAACAGAAAAGCCAATAAGCAATAAAGTTCGTGAAATGACAAATCCTTCCGAGCCGGAGAATCATTCTCCTCCTTTAACAATTTCGTTTTCGTTGAACTTTTATCAAGCTTTGCATTGTCAACTGGCAAACGAAATGTGTTTAATAAAGCACAATGTCAAAATTTATTTATTTCTTTTTTTTAATACACTTATTTCAGTAATTTATAGACATTATTTCATTTTTTCTTTGTAAAAGCTCACAATTTTTAATAAAAGTATTTAATTTATTTAAGCTCTTTGCCAAACGCAAATACCGAATGCCTCGCTGCATTTCTTTCTCGCATACACACACTATTAATTTTTCACACTGCTTTTGCAGCCGCTCGAATTACAGCTGTCGATACAATTTTCACAATATGCTCACACATAACACATTTCTAGCAATATTTATTTGTTTTAAAGGCGGAAAATGTTTGCGAACATATTTCTTACCTTTTAAACTCAAAAGAAATCGTTTTTGAAACATATTTTAAAATTCTTATTACATGAAACAAATACGAAATCTCTACTACGAAAAGTCAACGCGCAGCATGTAGAAAATGTAATATTGCCATATTTTGGAAAGATTAGCCAGAGGGTTAGTACTGGCGCATAATTATACGCATTGGACAATAATCTGTGTTTAGCTATTGAGAGTATTTCTGAATTCCTTTGAGATATAATATATACCTTCTAAATTATGTAGATGAGTTTTAAAACAATTTCTGAATATTTAGAATTTGCTCGCTTTCGGGGTTTCAAATATTTCTTTCTTAATTTTATTTTTTTAAGTGGCACCTTTAAATCGAATAATGTGAATTTTTGCATGAACAGCTGTCAATGTTGTTCCTCTCCTTTTAAGCACTTTCCCCTTTTTGTTAGCTTCATTTTGTCATCACTATTCGTATCTAATTGTCAATTTTTAAGTTAAGTAGGAGAAGTTTTGTTCAGTTTGTTGTGATACCATTTCGTAATCTAGCGACAGGGTTGTTATTTGGAGAGTTTACTTTTTCTTAAAATGCTTATATGATAATTATTTTCAAATTTAAATCAAATATTTTTGCTTCTAAGGGAACTATTTGTGAAGAAAATGAAGAAAAGAACACTTGTAGGATAAAATTTAAAATTTATCTTTGTTGTTGCTGTTGTAGCTGCTTGCTCACATGATCCATCTATAGGACGCCGCAGAAAATTGATCAGATGTAAAGCGCGTTAGATGAACTGGTTTGGCAAACAGGTAGTTAGTGTCGCGCGGGGCCTCATTGGATCCAGGATATATGTTGAGTATGTGGGGCTCTAGCCAAGATAAGCAATAACTAAGTCGACTTCAATAAACAGAAATTAATTAAGTCAGTATTACTCGGATCTTTCGGAGCGAGAACGCCCATCACTGGAAGAGAGCTCACTGAACTGTCGGTGAGAGATGTTTAAAATGGAAAATTTACAATCAAATATTGTCTTCCTTATGTGCCTAGATGGAGGTTCGGTTTCAAACAGATTTCCCTTGGGATGAACCAATCGGGGCGGTTGTTGCTGCTATAGAGGTTGCTCTACGCCGCTTAGAGACAGGTTGGTTAATTTAAGTCATGGAGGTAATCTGACGGTAAGTCCAGAAAACGAGCTGTATGGGAGGAAATTAACCCCCTGGTGCAGGGGGCCTGGTAATGTAAAAATTACACAGACGCGGAGAGAAGCTATTCTGCGGAGTCCTTTATTTTATTTTACGTAGGTTAAAAGTTTGACCTCGAAGCTCTACCGATGACTGTTGTTATTGTTGTTGTTATAACCGCAAAAATATTACCCAAAGTAATTTTTAGGGAATGTAGAGGGTGCAAAAGTCGTTGATCGTATAAAAATCAGTATAGTTCCGGTATAAAGACCCGACTGTCGCAGGAACTTTTGGATTTTAGTTGCTTCTTACGACAAACATACCTAACCGCGGGTGAGTTCTTGAAGCCTTAATCTGCAGAGTTTACCGATGACTGTCCATCACTCAGGCAGTCCTGTAACCCCAGTGGTAATGAGGAATCCTCAATATTATTGTGGATAGTAACTTTAGTAGTGGATTCGAAGGCTTTTCACAAAACCTGTGGTACTAGTATAGATCGTACAGTACAGGGTTGGTATTGATGGAGGCTATGGATGAGGACCGAAGTTAATTCAGATTATATTGTTTCACTCTTTTGAGTGGTAATTTTTTTTAATAATAATGTCTGGTAACGCATATAGTATAACGGCTTAATTCCATTTATTAATATAAAAAACATTTACAGAAGTTTCCTTATGGTTATCTCGGATTTTGTATATTTCTCCAGCTTTTAATAATACTACACATAATGGATTTAGCGGGTATGAGTAACAAAATACATATTTAACTGTAATATTCTAAGCAAAAAACTTGCAGATCGCACTTCACCAATTTTCCCCATCACGCCGATAACCATCAAAGATTGCACCTTCAGTTCTGAATGCAGCAACAGTGATATAGAACCAGATGATAATAAAACCCTGACACCCTTATTACGTCGCTTGAATACCGTCCAAAATATATTAACACCAAAATCGTTACTACGCGCCAGATCTCCAGCAACCACACCAACGGTCATCAATGGTTTTCTAGCGCCACCACAATTGCAGCAACACTGCAGTAAGTCGCCACAGCGTCGTGGCTCACCGCTGGCCGGTTTTCGACGTTTACGTTCGCCACGCACTTCCAATGGCCCGAGCACTGGTAGAGTCTCATCTCCACGTCTGGAGGTGCCAATGTTGTGTGATTTAACGGCATCCAATAATAGTTGTCGTAATAGTAAAAACACTTCAACTGTTACAAATTTAGCTGCACGTCGTCGTTGCCGTCAATTGGGCTTAAAGGAGTTGCAACGTCGTTACGCAGCGCCGTTTGAAGTGCATGTTGTGCGGAAACCAATAAGTCCGCGTGTCGATTATCTGTTACGGTGTGTGGGTATGATACAATATCGTTCGATATTTCAAACGGAAGAAGTGGATTTTGTAGTGTTTCGCACGCTAAGCGATCAAGATTTGCAAACGCTGGGTATTGGCGATGTGGGTGATCGTGAAGAGATTTTAAAAGCTGTGGTGTTGGCGGATGTGCTCATACGGGATTGGGTGTAGGGGCATCGATTGTAATTGTGATTTTGTTAATTTGTAAGCTTCTTTTTTTTTCTAGAATGTAAGTAAATAAATATTAAATATGTATGTAGTTACAAAGTGAAGTTTTTATTATTCATTATGGACTGCTGGTAAGTCTAAACATCTCTTCAATTGACCTCCTGCCGTCGTACCCTCCGCGTTTCACATTCCAACACAATCTAAATACATATATGTACATATGTACATAAATACATAAAAGCTGCCATCTGTACATTGTACCAAAGTCCAATCATGGTGTTGAGTTAAGACATTATTAACCTTTCATAAATGGGTCCAGCTCGACGCTTGATTTTTCCAATGATATAGTTCAACGGGTCGGTGGGTAGCCGCAGCCACACAAACCCACTGCCTCTGAGTAAATAAGTATATATTTATAATTGGCGTTTTGTAACCGCTGAAGCGACTTTCGGTTTTGCGTCTTGATATGTTTCCAACAAATGGATGGACCTACAGTTCATATTAAGCGTCGCCTCTGCTGAAAATTTGAAGGAGTCTTTCAGTTTTTGGTTCAAAAAAATCATAATGAGAGCTTCGTAGGAACATTTTGTCAAGACCGAGATTAAATACCTTTTTTAAAAAGCATAAAATTTAACAGCTTTTCAAATGATCTTTATTTATTTTTATTACTTTCTCAGTTCATTTGTCTCTTTACACCTCTAATTTGCTTGCAATATTAATTAAGAGTGATTTGCATAAAAAATTGTACGCTTTAGGCCTAAACAACGGCAATAGAAAAGTTCAAAAAACTCCAAAACCAGTTTTCGAATTTTGTTTTTATTTATTTTTCGCGCTTCGTGTTTGCTTAAAATATATTCAAATCACTGTTTTGCTCTTGTTCTTTTTATTTTTAATTGTTTTTATTTGCTTTTTAACAATTTCATCTTTTATTTTTAGTGTTTTCTTTTAATTTTTTTTGTTTGTTAATTCTCACAGCAATCAATAACTTGTTCTTAAATGTTGTATATTTATGAGTATAGCGCTGTAAAATATTAAATTTCAAGCATTTACTGCTCGAACGAAGGTCCAAGAGAATCTAGAAAAATTAAAAAAAAAAATTAAATCAAAAACAAAAATTTAAAAATTAATTAAAATAAGTATTAAAAATTTTTATAATTTTTTTTTTTGGTTTCAGAAAATCTTCTAAAGGCGTAGAACGAGTTTCACATTGTATCTCACTGAATACTGTCTGGCCTGACGGATTTGAAGTCTCATTTGCTGACGCAATCCAAACGCTTACACGCATATGTATGTATGCTTGTATTGTATGTTTGTCTGTTTGTAAATTTAAAATGCGCCATCACGTGCATATGAGTGATAATATTAAGTTGTTTTATTATAATTATTTTTATTTCGTTATTTTATTTTTTCTTATTTTACTTTATTTTATGTAATTTATTTTATTTTATATTATTTTATTACGATTAATTTAAATTAATTAATTTTAATTTTATTTATATTTTATTTTACTTTATTTCATTTTATTTCATTTTTTTATATAATTTGAATTATTTATTAATATTTATTAATTTTTGTTAGCTTACTTTACTTTTATTTTTTTATTTTTTTATTTTAATTTAAATTTATTATACTTTATTCTTTTTTACTTTCTTTAATTTAATTTTATTTTATTCAAAATTATTTTAATTTATATTATTTTATTTTTTAATTAAAATAATTTTTGTTATTATTATAGTTATGAATATTTTTTATCTTGTTTTACTTTTATTTAATTTAATTTTCATTTATTGAATTTTATTCTTTTTAACATTATTTTATTTTATTTCATATTATTTTAATTTTTTTACTTATATTATTTTATTTTATATTGTTTCAATTATTTTAATTATTATTACTTTTGTTTTTATAGTTATAAATATCTTTAATATTATTTGGCTTTTATTTTCTATTTATTTATTTTAATTGATATTTAATATATTTTAGCCTTTTTAATTTTTATTGTATTTTATTTATTTTTAATATTTTTTTTTTATTTAAATTTAATTGAACTAAATATTGTTAATTTTTATTTTAATTATTGGATTATTTAAATTTAAATTATCTTAATTTATTTTATTTTGTTTTATTTCATTTTAATAATTTTTTATTCTATTTTATTATATGCATTTTTTTCATTACAGTTTATTTTATTTTATTTTAATTATTTATTATTTTATTACATTTATTAATATTTTTATCGTATTTTATTTTTATTTTTTAATTATTTGATATAATTTATATTTAATATATATTATAGCCTTAATTTTAATTTTATTTATTTTTATTATTATTTTTTATTTAATTAAATCCAATTGAATTTAGATTTGCTTATAATTATTTTAATTATAGGATTATTTAAATTTAAATTATCTTAATTTATTTTATTTTGTTTTATTTCATTTCAAACATTTTTTATTCTATTTTATTTTATATATTTATTTTATTATTATATATTTTATTTCAATTAAATTTATTAATACTATTTCTTTATTATTACATTTATTAATACTTTTATCGTATTTTATTCTCATTTTTTAATTATTTAATTTAATTTAAATTTATTACATTTTATTTTATCGTTGTTTTTTTACTTTATTTTATATTATTTTTATTATTATTTCTCATTTAATTTAATTTAATTTATTCTTATTTAATAAATTACATATATTTCTTTATATTAATTATTATTTTCATTTTTATTAAATTTTATTTTATTTCTATTGCGACTGGAAATTCGCTATATATTTTTATTAATAAAAAAAGGAGTCAATGACAAGGCGAATATTCAAATTGGAATTGCAAATTCAAATGTCACGGACTAATCGGATTCGAAAGTAAATACAACACATGCATATTTGCATGTATCCAACAAAAAAAAAAAAAAGAAGAATAAACAACCTAAAATAAATATAACTACAAGTGATTGAGTTTTGAATGATTAATGATTTAATTATCTGCGCTGTGTTGTATTTCATAGTGATTGAATCCTTTACGTCCTTCGGAAGAAGTAAAATCATATAGGTTTTATGTTAATTTCAGAAATCTTTTAGAAATCATTTTTTTAAGTATGAGGGAGCATTTTTATATTCACTTGCAAGTCGGATAAATGTATTTATACCCTCATAACTAAATGATTTTAATTATCTACAAAATACAAGGAAACTGCTTTCTTTACTTCATCATCGGTGATAGCTTTTTTACCACTCAGCTCTTTTTTCACCCAAGTTTTGGGCTCATCTTATGCAGGGCAGCCAACGCAAGGCAATTCTCGTTTGCACTTTTTTTTATCTATTTTCTCCGCATTTTCTCCTTCAATGGCTTCATTTAGTCGCTCTAATATGGAAGCGTTATAGAAACACCTTTTTCTTTATAATCGATCCCTAATATTCTTTTTGAGTCTCTGCTGAACGGGTGGCACCTTAAACTTCTTGGTGCTGTAACCATTTTATACCACTGCATTGATAATGAGTGGAGAATTTTCATAATAGTGAACCCAGTTTTCGTCAACAGTAACAGTTACAGAGGTCCAAAACTGCAAGTGATTTTGTTTTTGCTGAATCGTTAGCGTTTCTCGGCCACCATCTTGCGCTGATATGAGTCAGGCCAAGAAAATTATGTATGTTACTCCAACCATTTCTGTAAGCTGCTTCTTATTTAGCCGATCATCTTCGAGTACACTTTTTACAGCTTTTACGATAAGTTCTAACGATTATCTTCAAGGAATTCGCTTCAGTAAGTATCAGACTTTTTAGATAGATTTAAGTTTAAATTACTCCGAGCTGGCGTCGAATTGGAAAAGCCTGCTTGCTTCAGCCTACATTTGTTCACTCTAACTATAACCGTCATGTGAAAACAGTGTATAGTGCTCTCACCACTGAAGCGAAGGAAATTTGCCAACAGAGGGATTACATATAATCAGATGTCAGCTTGTTTATCATTAGTGAAGACACTTAGCTGCTCTCATCATTTATCCATCATCTGAGCTTAAAATCACATCAGCTTGGTTTTCGAAAATACTCAGATAACCCCTGATCTCAAACAAACGCGTTCTTACGTACAAACTTTCTTGACGGCACTGAATCTATGAGTATATGAAGTCGAACGCTTTACGGTGACCTATTCGATGCTATACGAATTGGCGTCGAATCGTATGAATCCACTAGCTTCTAGCTTGTGCTTTCTTTGTATGTATATATTCGATGTTTATGAGTTTTTTTTTGTTCGAAGATAAAAGGGATTGATTTAAGTAAAGCTTAAGTCGGCGCTTGATTCATCTGAGCTTCGACTTCACATCTGAATCGATTTTTAAAAAAGCACTTTACACACTTAAGAAAAAGTACGGCGTAATTGTGCATTTGAACGTAGCGAATTCTGTTAATACTAATTGTATATATGTATGTATGCACATACTTATTTCAAACAATTAATATTCAAATCACTGGCCTAATCAAATTAAATTTGTTCAGCTGACTTTTACAAATTTTTTTTTCCAAATAAAATTAATACCGTGATGTTTTACAAACAAACTTGAGTATACATACATACATATATATATGTACATAAGCTTGTTATATGTAAATATATATGCATTATATTTCGGGTTTCTCTGTTATTAGGCATATGAAACAACCTTGACCATGGCTTTGAGTTGCTTCGATGGCGATTTACTTAGTATAAACATAACAAGTCTCGAATCGTGTTGAGATATAGAAAAAAAATAAATATAAAATAAAATGAGAATGAATAAAATATTTCTATCATTTAAGAATTTAGCACAAAAATGCACATTTGAGTATATACTACATATACATATAATATTAGGTGTAGAGAAAAAAGAAATCCATTATTTTTCCAATAGATGACGTTATTTATCTGTATCGCGTGTTGTATAAGTCCGATCGGGTTCCGCTAGATGGCGTTAGAAAGATGATATTTCGTACTAAAAACACTTTTCTGACAAATTTCTGATTGGTTGATTTGGTTTTGTTTGAGCGTGTCTGAAAGTTGTTCACAAGCAAAGTGAAAATTCGCTATATATGACAGTTTTCCTTCGATAAGGGCGAAAACGCCAGCCAGGCGGCTGAAAATGTGCCTAGTGTTAGTGGTTCTCATTGTAACGGCTTTTAGCATAGAATAATGCGTATTTTCGGTTTCATTCCGGTAATTTTGATGTAAAAGACTTCGTCGAAAATATAGATAAAGTCATGGACATTCTCGAGTCTGATGGTAGGAAGCACTGCTTCGATTGCCGGAGCGCTAAGCGCTTGCGAAGAAAACCGCTTGGAGTCATTTGAATAAGGCTAAATAGGAAAATTAGAAATTAAAGCCGTCAATTTCATGCAAAAATAATGGATTTCTTTCTACTACACCTAATATATTTTACTGCATTTGCACTTATACATATGTATGTATGTATGTTATTTATTATATATATTTATATATAGTGCTCACTTGCTTTTGTGCGTATTTTTTATTTATTTTTATTTTTTAATTACGAATTGTAAATGGCCTTCATTGCATTTTTGTTTCTTTCTTTTTTTTAATTGTAAAACTGGTTTAAATTGTATTTTCATAGATTTGTGGGTCATTGCCTTTTATTTTAGAAAGAAGGTTTAAACGAGCAGGGATTTTTTTCAATAAAAAGGTGTTGTAATTTATTCAGGCGATTGGAATTGTTTTTAGTAATAAATAAATAATTTTTTTTGGGCAATAAAATAGAATCATTTGAAGCTCAAAGAGATCAATGAACGACAGTGCTTGTCTATTGTGGGCTTTACGAAAATAAAAAATGGGAATAAATACAAAAATTTAGCTGAGAAAACTGAAAATGTGTGTATTACAAAGATCGAATGAGGCTAAAAACCCTCTTTATGTTATATTAAATAACTCTTCTCCTACTTAATTACGTTTTGAGCCCAGTTCAAGACTCTGCTGACACTTTTGGCATCAATAAAAAAATAAATTTCTTCTTCTTTACTGGCGTTGACACCGTTTAAGCTATTACAGCTGAGTAAACAGCACCGCAGCACTGATTCCTTCTTTTTGCTGTTTGATCAATTGAAAATACCAACCTGGCTGTACGGTCCTGTACAGTTCTGATCTGTCCATCGCCTCTTGTCGCGTTATATCTCGTACGTGGCATAGCAGGACGGGAATGTGGTTGCTCTCAGAGAGCAGAAAACTGGATATGTCATTCGTATATTACAACGTGATCTATCTGGTTATGAGTTTTTCGATCTAGAGAGAGTCAAGTAGCTCGATGAACTTCCCAAACCCATTTGGGGAATGTCTCACAGAGGAGGATTTTATTTTACAACAGTTGTGCTGAAGATACCTGCTTTGCCTAGTCTGGCGTTAAAGCCGCCAAGCACAATTTTCAAATCCTGAAGGTAGCAGCGCTCATAAAAGAAGTTCTTGGTCACATCATCCGTCTCTTCTGTCAGCACGAGCGAGAAAATCAGTGATAAGTTGAAAGGCTTTGCTTTGATGCGGATTATGGCGGGATGTTCATCCAACGGTGTAAATGCCAGTAGCCGACGAGGAGTCTCTCTCCTACCACGTGCTCGACATTAAATTTGAGCTAAATTATTTTGCTGCTGTAGTAAAAGTCACAAAGAGTTATTTTATGAATTAAATATCGCTAAATTGGTAAACTTTGTCTCGAGGAATCGATGTTTTGTAATTTTATATCGAAACATCGATAATTGCTATTTTTTACGGATTTATGGATATTTTTAGATTTAGTATAGATTAATCGATATCTTGCAATTACTGTCGATTATTTTTTATTCAATTTTATATCGATCGAAATTTTGTATCGATTATTACTTATTTTGTAATTTTTTTTTGAAAAAATCAATAAATTGTTATTTTTATTATTTTTTAATCGTTATGTAATTATGTAATTATCGATTAATCTGTATTTCAGAAATTCAGTATCAATGTTTTCCCTATCTTTATATTGAATAATCGATAATTCTTAAATTTTATTGCAAATAATCAATATTTTGTTAATTCAGTAAGTTTTATTCGGCATTTGGAAATTTTGTATCGTTTAATCGATATTTCCTAAAATCAGTCTCGATGTTTTTGGAAGTTTTGTATCGTTTATTCCATATTCCTTATTTTCAGTATTGATATTATTGAAAACTTTTTCGATTGCCATTTTCAAAATATGTAATCGATTAGTCGATATTTTTAATTAATTTTAATCGATAAATTTATGGCGGAGCCTCTCCTTCGCTCATTTTTAAGCCGTATCGCTTAATCCATATAACTCGAATTCAGTATTGATACAGTCGTATACTTTTTGAATTGATATTTTGAAAATATGAAATCGATTAATCGATATTTTTAATTAATTTTAATCGATAAATTTATGGCGCAGCCTCTCCTTCGCTCAGTCTTAAGCCATATTAAAATGTCTATCGAAATTATTTCACCAAAATACCCTCGTAATGATTAAGTTACGGGTAATATCGATACTTAAAACTTAAAGCCTGCTGTTTAACTAGTATTTAAAAAAAAAAAACACTTTTCTCTGAATATATAATAAATATATCAATTTTCAAAATTGCTGTGCAGTAAGTATTTTCAAATAACGAAAAATAATAATAGTTTTGGCTTTAGGGGAAAGCTTACCCGTGATGCATAAGGTTACCTTGAACTTGCTTCGGATGCAAGCAAGATACTAAAGCAATTCTTTATACAATTTCTTACAATTTAATAATACTTAGGTCATATATAAACTATTATACGTAGATTCTACTGGTGAATAACATCAAAAAAATATTTATTTAGAGTTGGATTGAATTTCGCTAGTCTAGTAAACGCAAGCCCATGACTAAAAAAAAGAAAATTTCTTTTTTTTTGTCTTTTCAATATGGTTTTTAATATTGCTTGGCATATTTGTACTTTCGTGACATCTTGAAATTCATTATTTTATTTTCTTTTAACTCTTTTGCTAACTTTTACTCCTTTGTGTGTTGGGGCGTATGAGCAACTGAAGGAAAATCGACCAGCTGATTAGGATTCCATTTTGTATATTTTTAGGAAAAAATTTTTTGTATATAAATTCATATAAAATAAAATTTAATAAATTGTTACAAAGTAAAATAAAATAAATTAATAAAATAAATAAAGTAAAGTAAAGAATAAAGATATATTATTTATATTTTATATTAAAACAGTATAATAAGAAAATTAATTAATTTATTCGTAAAAAATAATAACTAAAATAATAAGAAAATACATGAAGTAGCATATATTCATTTAAAATAATACAAATAAATTGTTGAAAAAAAATAAAACAACATAAAATTGAATATCATTAAAGAACTTTCAACCGCTTCAATATGCTAAAGAAAAATACTATTTTTTTCACAGTAGTGTATATTTACTTCCTGTAAAAGTAAAAAATAATAATAATTCTTAAATACACAATAAAAATATGAACAAGGTCATAATTAAACTTTAATTTTTGAAAGTGACCAAATCTTAAACAAAAATAATAAAATTATAAAAAATTAAAAATTAAATAATACCATTTCAAGCGAAAATTTCAATTCTTCATTCTCTTTGTTATTCACTTATTGATGAGCAAAGAAATTTTCTCGCTTAACAAAATCCACTAGTTATATACTAGTCATTTTATAAGGCGCTTACACTTCGATTTTACCGCTTTATATTTACTAACTCATATTAGTGATGCTCTTACTAACCAACGAACTACACTACAAGCGAAAAGTCAATATCTTCTCATGCATGCAAGCCGACGTTAGCCAAACAAACACACAATAAGCATTCATCACATCACATCACATCACATCATATCACATGCAGTTGCGTATACGTAACATGAAATTCAACTTCACCACAATACAGCATGGCAACTCTATGTATGCGCGCGGCAAATAGTAGTTAATAAAATCACAAGTAAAAATTCGTTGAGACTTCAGTCGCAATTCGTGCTTCGTCGTGGTTGTAGCAACAGCTAAAGCTAGTAGGAAAGCTATAAGCGTAATACAAAAATAATAACAGTATAACAGCAACAACAACAACAACAACAGCATCAAGAGACGGTAAATTCAATGCGAAAATAAAAAGGCGGTTAAGTCGAAATAAAACAATACGAAATAAAGGCGAAAAAAATATAACAAAAACAAAATACCTAGCGAGTGTTACAAAAAAAGAAACAACAAATATTAATAGAAAAGTGTGAAATTGAAAATAAATTTACAATATCAAAAAGAAAAAAATAAACGAAAATTTTAAAAAGCAAAAATTAGAAAAGTGCAAACGAGCAGTGCGAACAAGAATAAAACAAAACAACAAAATTGTAGGTAAACAAAGCAAGAGAAACAATAACAACTATTTTAGATAATTCTCAAAGCATATACATATGTACATATGCATGTATATTGAATGACAGCGGCAGCGACGGCGACAAGTGGCAAGTGGCAAGTGGTAAAGCAGCTAGCTGCTGGTTATGAATGATGGTGGCAACAACAACAAGCAACAGCAGTTCTTATAGACTGTGCGGCTGGCAGTTTATATTCTTGTTGTTGTTGTTGCTGTGGTGTGGCAACAACTATTGTATATGCAACCAAGTGTTTTGCCTTTATTATTTTGTTCTTGTATTTTTATATTTTTTTTTATTTTTTTCCTGCAACTCAAACAACGCTTGCTTACCTTTGAAGGTGTAAAACCAAAGCGACCGCCAACTCCGCTTACCCTTCACCTTCCACCTAACGCTTGACTGTCTTTGTTCTTATTAACAAACACAAATACAAAATATATATGCACAACTACTGTATGTGTGTATTTGTTCATACTAAACTTACATATAAATGGCTCTGTACACTTGTATGTGTAAGTGTGTAAATTATTATATTTGTATTTGTTTGGCATTGCGTGGTTTTTACTTAAGCTGTTGGTAAACACTTGATGGCATTGCCGCTGCAGGTGTATATATATACATATACATATGTATGCGTCGTTGTGTTTTTTTTGTGGCGCGACTTTGGAAACCTAACTGACCACCAAACAAGCAAGCAAGCAAGCATTCAAGCAACAGAGCAACAAAGCTGGCAAGCCAAGTCAAGAACTGTGTAAAATAATAAATAGAAAAAATATAGAAATAAATAGAAATGAAATAAACAACAACACTCATTCTAACTTGTTCATGTTTTTTTTTGTGCTGATTTTCAATTTTTCTTTTTTTTTTGCTGCCTGCGTCTATTACCAAAGTATCGATTGCAAAAATTACTGGTTTACTATTGCCCAGTGACTTTGATTTCAGTTCTTGATGGCGTGTGTTGGTGTAGCATGTTGCTTCTGTGTGTGTGTGTGTGTGTGTGTGTGTGTGTGTGTTTTAAGATGAAGTAATAGAATTTTGAAATTTTATTGAAATATAAAATATATATATATTTTAACACGCGTGACTAGCGAAAGAAAATTATTCTGTGCTAAAATTAAGCTAAAAGTGTGAAGTTAAAATTAACACCATAAGTTTTAATGAAAAAAAATATTATTTGTTTAATTAGTATTTTAAGTATTGAAAAGATTGGAGGAAAAAAACAACATTTTATTCAATTAAATATTTAGTTGATTTTCGCAATGACTAATATTAAAGTGGCAAATTCAATTATTTTTGAAAAAAGATGAAAAATTTCGCACTTATATACTGTCTGTGAGTTCAAAATCATGGAATATAAAAAAAAATGCTAAGACTCATTTGAGATACAAAATTGGAATGCTGAAGCTGTGTACAGATTAGAGTTGTTCTAGAGTTTTAAGCAATAAAATAATTTATTTGAATGCTGCATAAAAAAAAAACTAATTTAGGAGTGTCACAAATATTTTTGTTGATTTTGTATTTAATTCGTAAATTTAATTTTATATTTTTAATTTTTAATTTTCTTCTATATTTTTTCAGTTTAGCTTACAGCTTTTATTTTTTGTTTTTGATCTCATATTTTTTAAATAATAAATATTTATTTAAAATTTTATTTTTAAAACTTTTATAATTTTTATTTTATGTTTAATTAATTGCGTTTTATTTAATTTTTTTTTTATTTTGTATTAGCGTTCCTTAATCCTTACTTATATATACATATAGATATCATATATTAATTTTTTAATTGCTTTCTATAAGTTTTTTTTAAATTTTTGTTAATATTTTTAGTTTTCTTAAGTTTTTACATTTATTTTTTCTTTTAAAGTTTTGGTTTTTCACTTAAAAATTAAAACATTAAATCCTAACTTTGCTTCCTTTTATTTTGTATTTTCACCATTTAACTAATTAACTCGTTAATTATTATTTAATTTAGTTTAATTAGTTGTGTTTTCTTTACATTTCTGTTTTTATATTTATTATACTGTTTTTGGTATTTTAATTTTATTTTAAGTACCTATAAATTTTTATTTTTTTTTAATTTTATAATTCCTTTTATTATATTTGATTTTTTATAATTTCATTTCATATTTTTATTTTTTATATTTTTTTATTTTATTCGAGTAATTGTTTTACTACATACAGTGAAGTTTATTTATTTTTTTTTTGTCTAAATTTTTTTCTAGGTTTTAGTTTCTTCTGTGTTTTTAATTTTATTTTGATATTTTTTGTTGTAATTTTTATTTTTCCTTTAGTTTTAATTACCGAAGTTTTTATAAATGTACAGTTTTATGCATAATAGCTACGTAATACATTTTCTTTTAATATATTTTATATTTTTTACTTGTTTTTATTGTTTAGTTCTTATTTATAATTCTTGGGAGCAGAGCTGAGAATCTTAAGTGAGGATATTAGACAATCAAAGATTAAAAAACATATTCAGTTTTCATATAACTAAAGTATGAAAAGGAGAAATTTCAATTCAATACAGAGTTGTGTTATTTAGTGCGATCTATTCGTGTTGCAGTTCCACCCACTTCCCCACTTTTTTATCAATTACATATGATTTTTTATTATTTTCAATTTTCTCTTCTTCCGCTTTTAAAGAAGTGAATCCTTCGCCATCGTGTTTTTTCGACCTTGATGTCATAAATAAATCATTCTTATGCTCTGAAAAGTCCCCATCATCATTAGACTAGAGCTGCTTCAATAATTATATTATTTTAGTAAATTTTCCCATTAATTTTGGAAAGGGACAGACTTACCTGGGACACATGAGGTAAATTGTCCATTGATATTTGTGGATCTTTCAACCAGAAATTCGTTGACAATGATAGCCCCGTAAAATATCGAATTGCTTTCATCGACTTGGCTGAAATTAAGATTGTTCGGTTGTTTAAAATGATATGAAGTGATTCGTGCGTCACCGAAGACTCAGCTGATATCCTCTCTCTCTTAAACTACCACTATCTTTGGTATGCCAAAACATAAATTTTTTTTTTCATGTTTAAATTAAATACTAATAATGCCATGCTTACATATTACAACACAATAAAAAGTTAGAATTTGTATGTTTGTATATATACCTGTCGAATATTTAAAAACCTTTAGTTTGCGGTGATTTTGTATAGAAGCTAATTGAGTGTGTTGAATTTTTAATTTACTTGAAATTTTTTGCCGCTCCTATACGAAGACTGACTGATTTAAAAAGTCGCAAAAATGCATTAAATTTTTAACATACATTTTTTATGATTTTTATTATTTGGAAGTTATTAACGCATAAATTTTTGGTCATAGTTTAGTGCTTTTCAAATTTACACATTTAAACAACTCGTAATTTTATAATAAATAAAATAAAATAAATTAAAATAAAATAATATAAAAAAAATAAATTAAAAAGAAAAAGAAATAAAATAAAATAAAATAAAATAAAATAAAATAAAATAAAATAAAATAAAATAAAATAAAATAAAATAAAATAAAATAAAATAAAATAAAAAAATGAAATAAAATAAAATAAAATGAAATATAATAAAATAAAATAAAATAAAATAAAATAAACTGAGATAAAATAAAATTAAACAAATAAAATATATATAAAAAAATAAAGTAAACTAAATAAAGTAAAATAATTTTAAATTAAGAAACAAATAATATAAAATAAAAAAATTGAATACAATTAAATTAAATAAACTAAAATTTAATTAAATAAAAAACATAAAGTGAACTAAAATAAAACAAATATAATTAAAAAATTAAATAAAATGAATGAATGAAATGAAATAACGTAAAGTTAAGTAAAATAAAATAATATAAAATGAAATTATATAAAATAAAAAAAAACAAACTAGAGCTATAAAAAGAAAATAAGGAATAAACAAAAAAAAATAAATAAATGAATAAATAAAAAAAATATAAAAAAAATAAAGCCAACTTAATAAAGTAAAGTTATTAAAAATCCAAATATAAATAATATAATATAAAAAAAATTTAATACAAATAAACTAAATTCCTTAAAAAAACATAAAAATATAAGTTTTTTTGAAAAAAATTGTCACACAGCCATAAATGTTCAAATCATTTGTGCATACAAATAATTTTAAAACTTTTTTAGTTTATAATTTTTCGAATCTGTCTATGTCACCGGCGCCGCCTGCTGCCTTTAATTTCTGTGAAAATAACCATATTTTATTACTCCCTTGTGAACAATACGACTCAATATATTAACACATTTATTAATATTAATTTTTTTTTTTAATTTAAATCCAAAAAAGGAGTTGTGTGCAGAAAATTTAATACAAATAAACATCAAAGAACAACGAAAACTTGCAGAAAAAGGCCAAAAAAGTGAATTAAAAATTCATTAAAGTAATAAATAAAAAATAAGCCATAAAACTTCTAAAGCCGTCGGAAGTGTAGCAACAAATTTGGAGTCATCAAGCAATAAAAAAAATTTAAAAAAGCAAATTAATTGCAAAAACCATATAATTCGAGCAGATAAACAAACATACGTACATGCATACATACTAAATTCGTTACATATATTTTTTGTTGGCTCACTTTCCGCTTGCAACATTAATTTTGTTGCGAATTTACCAAGGCTTTACAAGCGCTTAGCTTGCCACCAATCAGCCGCAACAAGCAAGAAAAGCAAAAAAAAAAAGAGAAAAAAAAAACAACACCGCATATAAATAAAATAACAACTAAATACAGCACTAATAACTGGGATTACAACAGCAGTAGCAGCAACAACTATAATAACAGTTACTTATAACGCGAAAATTGGTGGCAACAATAAACTGTAACATTTGGGTATGTTAATAAATATAAATGTTTTACCATTACGCACTGTTTTGTTTTCTATACTAGTACATAGAAATATTATAATGGATTTTTAGCTGCCCTGTAGGAATGTAATATAAAAATATAAGAAATACAATTTGTTTTCATTTGAAAAATTTGTGTTACTTGAAAGTATAAGCAGTCGTGTAAATTTATGAGCTTTTTGATTTACTTAAATATTTTGAAAGTATCAGAAATTTATGCTTAAAAAGTAGTCACACTATAATTATTTCTTCGCTTAGCGAAAACTTAAAATTTGTTTCAAATTTTCATATTTTCCTCTAAGGTGATAAAAACTGGCTGTATGAATTGAGTAAACGCTCACTCTTAGTAAAACTGAGAACTTAAAAGTTGTTCCACAAGTCCATATATACTTAAATAGAGATAAAGATTGAATTGAGTACCAAAATCCGTTTCTTAAGTTCACATTTTCTTTAATAGAGATAAAGAAAGAGCTGACAACTAAAAAGCTTTTGTGAAAGTTTATATTGACATAAATATAGATCCAGATCGAATTATGAATCAAAATTCGTTTCAAAAGTTCATATATATCAAGATATAAAGTAAAAGTAAAATTTACTTAATATTAATAAAATAATCAGTAAATAAAAAGATTCCCAAACTTTACAGAATAGAGAACTAAAAAATCGTTTCACAAGTTCATATTTACCTTAATAGAGATGAACAATTAACTTGAGCTAAAGACCTATTTCAAAAGTTTACATTTACATAGCAGAATTGGGGGCTAAAGTTCCGTTTCAATAGTTCATATTTATTTCAATAGAGATAAAGAGCTAAAAATCCATTTCACAAGTTCATATTTACTTTAGGAGTGAACTGAGAATTAAAAATCGTTTCAGAAGTTCACATTTATTGTAATAGACTATGTGAAATTTTCCTACTTGTTCTGTATGAGTATTTATCGCACATTTACATATATATATTTTTTTATTACAATTATTATTTACGCTATTTGATTTGCCACACGCAATAATTAAGTGAAGCAAAAAAAGGCAACAACAACTTGTACATATAGCATAATGTTGTGAAAATAAAAATGGATGATTGATTTCGTCTACTTGCAAACTTATGAATTATTAATTACTTTGCTGTGAATATTTTATTATTTCTTGTATTTATTTCCCCTCCATTTGATTTACTTGTTTAGTGGGATGTTTGCTATTTTTCTCCGCTCGAATCGCTGCCAGTTTCTTTCTTTTTTGTTTGATGTAATCTTATTGTTTTATTTCGTTGTTTATATATATTTAGTATTTGTTTGTTGGATTTGCTTGCGCGAATTGTTTGCGCAAAATGTGTGGATGGTTTGGAGTGTGATTATTTTCTCTACAATTTTTCTATTATTTCCTTATCTGCTCTATTTTGGCATAAATTTCCCAAATAGTTACATGGATAGGAACTCTTTACTGGAACCACAATTCTGGTCTGATCCATAATGAACTTAAGGTTCTCAGATTAAAAGAGAGATTAGAACAAAGGGCAGCTGTTTAAGCTTCCGAGTCTTTTGGGCAACCATATTTTGACCAAGGGGCTTGTGAGACCTGCTCTGTGGTGCTTAACCCTTAAGTGATTTTCTTCTCAAAGCAATGTGATAAAAAGAGAAGAGCAGAATTTGTGGCAGGGATATATAAAGATTAGTTGATGCCGAAAATGATTTTTCGTTAAGAGTTTTCTAGTGCGATGACTCCCTTATTGAGGTTATATAACCACTGAATCAATATTCATCTTCTCGTTTTTTCCACAAATACAATTTGATGTTCTGGGATCGATTTTTACCTCAAGCTCTTGATTTAATATCAGAAGTACACTCGAGCTCGGGACGGCTATTCACTTACAGCGACAGCTTTATCTTATTTGGGCTACAATTTATTTTTTTATTGTGCTCTTGGTTTTTTTTCTTACTGATCGGGCCGTAAATAGGAAATCAACATCAGGATTAATAATAAACCTTTCGATATATAAATCATGAGAAAACATATCTATGTCAGCGCTGAGTAAGATCCTTGGACCCTCTGCGGTAGTTTTCTTGAAGCGTACTTTCCTGACGTACCACACGAATCAGGCATAAGACTTTAGGCGCTGGATTATTCTAGGGATGGGAAAGGTTCTGTTAGCGAAAACAAAAAAAACAAGAAAATGGCACTGAGCTTTACATTAAGTCTCTTATAGACCTTTTCGATGAGAACGGTATTATGAGAAAAGTGAGTAACGTGGACGGAAATATCAAACTATAGGTTCCCTAAACTTACTTCTCCTGCGTCACACTTGCAATATGTTTTTCCTATAGAGTCTTCTCCCGATGTTTCACACGAATGAGTATTCTTTGTGGCCATCGCTACAAACAGACAAACGGAACCGAGCTTAGCGTTAACATCCAACATAGATCCTTTCAATGAGTAGAAGATTTTGGGCATTAAGTTATAGAGGGACTTAATCCTTCCGTTGAGAATTATATCTTGAGGAAACATGTATTATTAATCATATCCTGAGCATACTTTAAATGAACCCTTAAATTTAAACTATAAAATTTTAATGTTGAAAATGGATTACACGAATAGAGATATCTAGCTCAACGCTCTTCTTTCTTGACTTTCAGTGGGTTAAATCTGATGTGCTGGCCTTTTATGAAGTTCTCTCCTAAAGATCTACACGTAAGAGGCCTCTATAAGACCTAACGTGATGTAGGAAAATAAATTTGAATGACTCGGTAGTTTTCCCATAAGAGAGAAAACATAGGATTTTAATGAGAAGTAGACCTTCTGCAAATACTATTTTGCCAACCACACTTTTTATCAAATATCGAGGCGAATGCTGCATGACACTATTTTCCATAAAATAAATTAGTTGGACTCCTTTCTAATAGTTTCTTTTCGAAGATTATATATAAGGCCTTATCGGTCAAAAAGAAGCTTAAAAGAAAATCAGAGAGCTGACACTAAATGTAACAAAAATGCTGTTCGAAGTTTGAACATGGAAAGATATGTTGTTTTTGAGCTAGCCCGACTAGTTCTGCCAGTCTGAATATAAGTCTCCACCCATAAAAGAAAACCAAGCTCTTAACCTTATCCTAATTATTACAGCAATCCTTTGAAAAGTGCTTGAGGTAGAAAAAAAGAGTGATAGAGAGAGAGAGAGAGAGAAAGAAAGAAAGAGACTGAAAGAGAGAGAGAGAGAGTGAGTGTGACTAGCGAGAGAGATCGAGAAAGTGAGAGAGAGAGTGAGAGAGAATGAGAGAGAGAGAAAGACAGAGAAGGAGAGAGTAGGCAGTGGTTCTGTCGCCTATAATATCAAGTCTTCACTCTTATTGTATATAATATACTGGCGATTATTGAAGTCCCATGAGTAGGCACAGATGTTAGCTGGACTCTTTGTCTTAAATTGAAAGCTGAATTTTAAGAAATATTTTCTAACCGAGTTAAAGACGATACTCTGGAAACAATTTCAGGATATATACATTAGGGGCTTATATAAATTTCATAGAAAGAAAGCAAAATATTGAACAAAAACACAATAATATGTACATATGTATGTTTGCATGTACAAGTACAGTACCTAACATATAATGGCAGGCAAATATTTGCAATGAAAGCAACAATCAACAAATTAGAAATCAACTAAAGAAACAGAATGACCAATTCACAAGCAACCAAAGCGACTGAGCCCCACACACCGAAGCATGCATTGTAGATGAGGGTTGTAGTAGATGTAGCAACAGCTGCAGTAGTGGTTTTACCATTCTTTCAACTTGCTTTCCGCAAGCTGTAGAGAGTGTGGTGAAGAAGGAAGAGGAGAACAGAACGAGCTGCAGGAGGGCTGTGTAGAGAAGGTCAGCAGCCTTAGTTGATTTTTCTTTTTCCCAACATGTTCTATTCCAACTCGTGCTCGTTTCTTGTCTATTTACTTATGTATTTTCTTGTATTTACTTACACACACATACACATCTAGTCCAGTTTTTACACTACTTTAGCTGCTGTTGTTTTTGTAATTTACTGTAAAACGAACTTACCAAACTGACAGAAGGTCGACAAGCTGGTCAACAAGAAAAATACAATATATGTATATGTATTTATGTATATGTACGAACAAAAAACTGTAAAATAAGTTAGAGTTACCTGTCAGCTGACTGCCCTCAAGGTAAGCTGTGTGGCTGGGGGGCTTTGTTGATCGGAAACTGCAAGCTTGTCGAGGCGTACAATGTGGTAAGTAAACTAAGCAGGCAGCACAAGTTGAGACAATGTTAGTGAAAGAGAAAAAAATATAAATTTTTGTTTGACAAACTGGCAATTGGTAAGCGATAGGGGCGGTTAGGCGGTTAGAAGTTTTGTAGTGTAAGAAACGTGTGCCTCACACATAAATAGTCTTAAAGCGTCGTTTCAGCTGCCAAAATGTAGGGATCTACATTTTCTTCTCTGTTTGTTTTAATGATAAAAACAGGTGAGGTGCTGAGATTCTCTGACGAGGAGCGGTTCATATTTAAAAGAACTTCTTCTACAACTTTGCACACTGGTCTGAAGGGATTGAACTCGTGATACTCCGCAGTGAAGTATATATTTCTCAATGAGAATTTTCGAGAATTTCTCAAGCTTAATAAGTTATTCCAACTTGACACATTTTCGATGGCCTGATCGGTCATTTTATTCTGCATATTCAGCACATATTATTTTCCTAATGAAAAATACTAATTGTTGACTAGAATGCTACTTTTTTAATTACCTTCATTTTCTCCTATTTCTGTATTCCCATACCAGTTTTACCACTACAATGTCGCATGAAATATCAATTGTTCTATAATGCATCAGCTGCAT